CCCGGTTCCTCGCCCCCTCCTCCTCCCTCCAATCCCACTCCCCTCTTCTCACATGCGTGCTACCACTTTCTTCTTTCTGACCCCGTTTTGTTTGCCTTAACTTCTGTCCTCCCACCCGCCGACCACCAAACACCACCAACCCTATCACCAGCCACCAAGCCAGCAAACTCCCGGTCCTGCAAGCCGTCGGCGCACTTCAATCCTTTTGCTAATTATATCACCTACCTACTTCATCATTATCTTCGATCTTTACAGTCACCCTCTTTTTGTTCAGCCCTGGTTTCGTTCCAATGGCTCCACGACGTCACAACATCGGTGCTAGCCGCCGAAGGAGAAGGGACGAGGAAGGTGAAGATGAGGGCTCATTGGATGGCGAACTGGAAGATGACTCTCTCAGTGAAGGCTCGGTGATCAGCCATCCAGATGAAGATGACGCCGATGGAGAAGGTAGCGATGAAAGCGACAACGAGCTCCGGACATCTTCGCACCCTCATACCTCACACCCCAATGGGCGCATGCTCAAAGCAAACCATAAATTGGGACGCCGCCACTCGTCATCCCCAGCGAAGCGGCTGATCGCCAGCACCGTGTCAGATACCGAGGCTATGATGAACGGCATGAAATTATCGGAGGAGCCGACACCAGAGGCGGGAATTCATTTCGATGACCTGGAGGGGGAGCTCGGCCCTCCGGTAGGACGGACGCCATCGGCACCACCGTCTGAACCGAGAAGGGAGGCAGCTGCGGAGGTGAAGCGTCGGGAGCAGGAGAAACACACAACCAAGGACAAAGATGCGAACCCTGCTCTGGTGCCCTCCCGAGGGAGTTTTTTCCTTCACGATAAGCGTTCCACCGAGACGGTGACGAATGGCCACAAGACCTCCATGAAATCGAAAACCAGACCGTATGGACTCATTGTGGATGGTAATGTGCGCAGGTGCGTCTGGACCCTCCTGCAGAGCTCCGATCACTTTCACTCGTCAACCGTGCCAGGAACTAACGTGCTGCAGACATAATGTCAAGCCGGATACGAGCGAAGGACAATGGGCGCACGATCTTCATGATACCGTCGCTGGGGGCCGTTCATCGACAGCCAAGGTCTCAACCGCTTCAACCGGGTTCTCGAATTATCCACCTCGGCCTGTTCCCACGGCCCCTAGGTCATCGCCCCCAAATCGATCTTTTTCGAGCACTACGTTACTTGGGAATGTGCCCGTGGTTGTTCTCCTGCCAGGCATGGACCGGCCCATTTCTTATCCATCTGTATCGAAGAAACAACACACCCGACTCCCTCAGCATCGCCCTCCTCTTCGCCGCGATAAGCCTGTCCGGATCTCGCTTCCGGGCCAACCGCCTCGATACATTTTCCCCGCCATCGAGCGGTCCTTCATCTTCATCCCACGGGCGCTGCGGCCGAACCAGCAGGCCTTCCGCGGGCGTCGTGGCGGCTTCATGACGGGGCGCCGTCCCAGCATCTATGCAGGTTCGACGTACGCCCCCAGTGTCAGTATCAGCCGGCGGTCATCCTTGGGCAAGCCGCCCTCACAGGAGGGATGGCACTCGCCGGCAGGCTCAGTCTTCTCACGGCATACCATCATCACCACCGAGAATGGGAAACCGGTCGTCCGCCTCCCTCCTCCACGACCGCCTCTAGGGATTCCACACGTCCCTGCTGGCCCAGTGGTTGCTTCGTCGGCATTACCACCTCCTCTGCCTCCTCAACCGCAACCTCGCGCATATCGTGAGAGCCGCCCGGCTCCCATTCCGATGCATCAGCCTCGTCCTCAAAAAGCTGTTTCCGTTGCCGACATTGAAACGCCGGCAAGCTTCCCCTTCAATACGCCCCAGCCTCAACAGGAACAGCCGTTCCACCACCAGGTGCCAATGCCTGCCAATGGGCCTGTCTATGGTCCGGAAGCCTCTACCCACGTGCCCCCTGCTCACGCGTCTGCGACTCCTGTGTCTCATATCCCCGACCGCGCCATCCATGCCCAGCCGTTTCAACCCTACGGTTTCCAACAAGCCCAGATATACTATCCTGCATCGTACCCGGCTGGCGCCGTCTATTATCCTAATTCTGGTACGGACTACGCCCCATTCAACGGGGCTGGAGGTCCAGGGGCCTCCGCGCCGCCCTTCCCGCAGGGGCAACATGGCCCTCCCTATATGGTGCCTCCGGCGCCTTCGTCGGGCGAACAAGCATCACAGCCAGGTACGGTTGCTCATGAAGCTGGAGGGACGGTCTATTTCTACGATGCCAACCAGATGTATCCCAACTCATCATACGGGTTGCCCAGTGCTCCGGGGCCGGGTGGAGTGGTTGGCATGGGTGGGATGTTGACGCCCCCAGGAGCAACTTATTACTATCCGCAGTCCCAAAACGGTGTTTACTACTCTGCGCAGTGATCCCCACGCCGATGGTACTATGCCTCAAACTTCCGCCTCTTTCTCCTCTCTTTTCCCGATTTCTCGACCCCCTTTTCGTTCTTTTTCGCCTAAAATCTCGTCCACTCCTCTTCGATGTCTATTGCTCTTCTTTGGCCTTTCTTTGATTCCCCTTTCATCTTTTTCTCCTAGCGGTAACGCACCGACGCTGTCGGATCTTCGAAAACGTGATGACGTCTCTCTTCTGCCACGGCTCTTCTTGATTTGACCTATGCTCAATCGCCTAGTTTGATTTTTCCGTGGTGGAGGGTCACCGAGCCTACTGTGCTGTTTGAGTTGTCTTTCAATTGTGGTTAGATTAGGATTTTCTGCATTACTAGCGACTGTTTTGACTTCCCTGTCTTGTTCGCGCTCCTTTCTCCTCATGTCTCTACAGTTCTTGTTCTTCCTCTTCTTGATGTTAATGCTTTCTCTCTCCGTCCTTTTTTTTTTTTATGGTTAACTTCCGGGGTTGTCTGCTCGGCCGTGCTCGCAGGCTGCGGGGAGGCACCCCTCCCAGTGTACGGATACCATCGCTGTTCCATGTACTCGTGCGGGGAATGAACGACTATGGCCCTACCTGATGAACTGTCTGCATGTCCCATTTTTGCGGTCGCTCTCTTGAGTGTACTGTGCATGAGCGAATGAACCTTACTACCTACCTTCTTTAGTGTTGTTGCCTGTCCGTAGTGGTGAGAGAGATTGGGTTGATCGGCGGCCAAGCTTGTTGAGTGGGTGCCTGTCAGTCGAGAGGGGAAAGTGGCAAGCTCTCGGCGCCAACAGCCAAGACGATGTCAAGGAGCGTCGTTCGTATACTAGTTTTCCTGGGTCGCATGATGCAAGAACATCTTGAAGCGCCGAAAAGCAACGATCAACGACGCAATGACCCGAAGACGTAAGCAGACAGAACGCAAGACTTCACTACTCTAAGCGGGAGTGAATCACGGACGACAGCACTGGAGCATAGCCTGCATCAATCCCTCGGCTGCCATCTGAACGTGAGAACGTGACGTCAGCGCCGGACGTCAAAACGAGCCCGGGAGAAAGGAACTGCCAGCATAGTCGGCAGTTGTACGAGTAGCTGGTGCTACATGTAATGCGGCAGTAGCTCCTCCTCGGTGGCTATGAAATCATCTTGCACCGGGAGAGTTAGACAAGAGAGACTGGGGTTTCCAAATTTAGGCCTGATGGGATGCATTTCGGCAATGCCTCACTCATTCTGCAGACACGGGATCCAGCTGATAGACAAGAACTACTCAGGACAACTAGATGAGCGATAGGTACAGTAGTAAGTCACCGAGTCGGGGTCAGTGGAAGAGAGCCGGAGATCCGTGCCGTACAGATAGGCAATGATGATTGCAGGGGGGAGTGGGGGAGGAAACCCGTTGTTGTCGTCAGACAAACGACGGGGCACATAGGTTGATAAAAGTAACCTGTTGGGTCCATTGACAAATAGTCCATGAAACAATCAGTAAGTTAACTAAGTATGGCCAAGATCATACTCATCACCAGTATACTACCACAGTGGGTCCATGAAAAATAAGGGAAGTTTGACAAGGATGGTAGTCTGTCTGGTCTGTACTGTACTGTACTGCTGGGCTCACCGCCTCGGCCGGATGCAGCCAGCAACAGCAGGCATCAGCACCAGCTGACCTGCTCGTCTTTTCTCCTTCTTTAACTCCGCCTTCTCCTCTCTCTCCTCTCTCTTTCTCCATTCCCTTCCGTCATCTTTTCCATCTCCAACTTCTTCTCTCTCTTCCTCTCTCTCTCTCTCTCTCTCTCTCATACACTTACTACTTACTCACACTCCACCCACTTACTTCCCACTTTTCTTCCAACTCCCTCCATCATCCACCTTCCATCCATTTATCATCTACTTCTCTTATTATTTATCCTCCTCCCACCTCTCTCTCCCTTTCTCTTCCTCAATAACTCCATTTCAGCTGGGCTGTTTTCGGTGTTCTGCTCCTTGTCTCGTGCTCTGTGTCTCCTAATCACTCCCGCCGTCCGTTAGCGTTGCCGTGCTTATCGCCTCCTTCTGGCCCGAGAGCTTTACACACACACACACGAACACGCACACGGTCGGGCATCATCTTTTTCATCATCCATTCATCCATCTTTCATCATGGCCAATCCTACTACTTCCCCTCCGGCAGTGGGTCCCAGCACTTTGATTACAGTCAAGGTGCTGTACAATGACAATACTCGCCGCTTCAAGATTCCGCTGAAAGAGCTTGGAGCTCGCACTTTACCCCAGAATGTAAGTCTCCCGTCCAGTCCCAGTCCCCACTCGAGCTCCGACCGGAGCTCCTCCGCTTTCCCCCCATCAGCCCCCATCAGCCCCATCTACTCTTCCGCCCCTATCTTTCGGTCTCTCTGTACCTTACCTCTTGGAGACCTTTGCCTTGCCAGGATGATACCATTTCGTGGACATGCAACCGGGCTCTGGTGGAGGTTACCATCGTCCCGTATTATTATGTTCTATCCAGAGAATCGATTTGTTCAGTCGCGACCGTCGAACACCGGATGCTAATCACTTGTCTTCGTCTCTAGCTTCGCCAACTCCTGAGCGTCCCCGAAGACGCGAACGTGGTCTTCGAGCGATACTCCGACAGTGCTAGTTGCTATGTGCATCTGGACAGTCAAAACCCAGCTGTCTACAAACAACTTTACCGGGCTGCCAAAGCGAAACTCAAGCTGCGGATCAAGGTCACCACTGTAGATGAGACCGCCCCTCAGCCTCCCGTGGAGGAAAGCCTACCAGAGCAACAGAATGTTTCGCGGTACAGCTATCTAGAAACCGTCTTGAGCTCTCCACTCCCTGAATCCCAAGCTGAGACTGAACCTAACACGGCATCCGCCTCCACTTCGGCCACTAATCTAATTGACAACGTGGTTTGCCCTATTCCAGCAGAGACTCAGTCCATGCAGTGGGGCGCTGAGCCTTCTTCCCAATCGCAGTTCCGCGAATTTGCGTTCGACAGTCCTCGCTTCCCGATTATGTCCCATGCTTCCCCTAGCGGAGTGTTCTGCATTGATTGCAATCGCTGCGGTCTGTCCATTCCCAATGAACACTATCATTGCAGCCTTTGCGATGATGGGGACTATGACCTCTGCCCCCAGTGTGTGGACAGCGGAGCCACCTGTCTCAACGAAGAGCACTGGTTGATTAGACGGTCCATCAAGGATGGCAAGGTCACCACCAGTACCACCGAGACAATTCCTCCCCGGAAAGTTGCGGTCGAGGAGGCTAAGGAGGTGCCTGAGGCTCCCGTGCCAGAGCCAGTCCGAGAACTTTCTCCTGAGCCCGCTCCGGCTCTGGCTCCGGCTCCGGCTCCGGCTTCAGCCCTCGCTGCACCAGAAATTACTGATCTGCGAATTTGCAACGATTGCCTTAAAGGTATGTCTAGTCTCTGTATTTCAAACTCCGTGACATGCTGCTGACTGGCCGCAGAACTTGATGAGAATCAAATCGTCTCGTGTGCTGACTGTGATGACTATGACCTCTGCATTACATGCCTTCTGAAGGACTCGCATGGTCACCATCCCGCCCACACATTTGCTTTGCTCAAGGATCGTCAGTTCGCTTTGAAGAGCATCGTCCAGTCTAGATGCAATCCCGGACGTCATCACCACCATGCAGCGATCTGCGATGGATGTGAGAAGGTAACCTACCCTGGTTTTGCTGCATTCCCGTATGATACCTAGGAAGAGCTAACAGTCGTGCTAGCGTATCATTGGTGTTCGTCACAAGTGCTTAACTTGCCCGGACTGGGATTACTGTACCGAATGCTACGAAAATGTCGCTCAGCGACACCCCGGTCATCGGTTCGCGCCGCTCTATGACTCGATCGCTGAGCCCCTGATCAACCATGAGGTGCATTATGGTATCTACTGTGACGGCCCTCTATGCCGGACCAAGTCTTGTCCCACATTCATCACCGGCACTCGCTACAAGTGCTCCGTGTGCCACGATACCGATTTTTGTGCCAGTTGCGAGGTTCACCCAACAAATACGCACAATCGAACCCACCCGTTGCTCATGCTTAAGACGCCCGTGCGTGATGTTCGGGTCAGCACCTTTAATGAAGCTGGACAAGGAGTGACTACTCTCGGCGACCGCCTCCAGAAGTCCATCTCAACCGAAGCCACTACTCTTGGTGAACCTGAACCCGCGGTCCAGGAAGCGCCCGAACCAGTGGAGCAGGTTGGTGCGGAGGCGAAACCTGTAGAACAAGCCAGCCCTGTTGTGAATACCGAGCCAGCCCCCGTTGCACAGACATGGGATGTGGATCCCGCTTCGGGGTACCAGGCTTTCTTCATTCGTGACACCATCCCCGATGACACAGCCATGGCTCCCAACACTCCTTTCCAGCAGACGTGGACACTCTTCAATCCTGGTCCCATGGCTTGGCCTGCGGGGACGGATGTGCGGTTTGTGGGCGGTGATTCGATGTTTAATGTGGACACCAACCACCCATTGAGCGTCGATTCCATCGCCACTGCCATGGAGAGCAACAAGATGAGCCAATCTCTAGAGCCCGGTCACAGTGCCGACTTTACAGTGACCCTCAAGACCCCCAGTCGTCCGGGTACTGCCATCTCCTATTGGCGGCTCAAGCTCCCCAACGGCATGCCTTTCGGCCACCGTCTGTGGTGCGATATTCAAGTGCGTGAACCGACTCCAGAGACGGAGGCTCCCTCGTTGTCAGAGGACGTCAAAGCTTCCCCGGCTGTGGAGCCCAGCCAGCCTGAGCCCGCTGGTAGTCAGATGATTTTCCCTAAGCTAGACAAGGAGTCACCAGAGTCGAGCACGCACGAAGCTGCTCGCACGGCTCCTACGGCTCCCTCGGTATCTTACCGCTCGGAGCAGGATGTGCTGGATGACATGGACAGTTTGACCTTGGATGATGAGACAGACGTTGGCCTCTTGACCGATGAGGAATACGATATCCTGGATGCCAGCGACCAAGAATACCTGGAGGCCAAGTCCCAGCATTAGTGGACAGGCTTGGTCGAACGCATCTGTCAAGGTCAGTGGATCTGTCATGATTTACGGGATTCCTCAATGCACGGGCTTCTTGGATTCTGGGAACTGCCGGAGTTGACTAGCGATGGATGAAAGTGGAATGCGCTTCCGAGGTGCTTTTTTTTTTTTGACTGCGTTTGCTCTACCTTTCGTCTCACAGCAATCCGGGGGGGCTATGTAATTGACGGTGAAAGAGGACTGCATCCAGCCTGAGGGGAAAATAACGGTTGGGGAGGAGAAAGGCTGGAGTTAGCTATAGTGAGAGACTCTACTCCAAACTTCCAGATTGCTTATTTTGAGCTGTAATGTTCCAGTCTTCATACTGTAGTATATAAGTTATTCATTCCTCATTGTTTGGTGGGGTGCTGTTGTAAATCTGGAGCGGCTCAACCTGGTTAATCCCAGCCACCAGTTGGTCAAGTATTGTACTGTACCTCGGCTCGTAGCTTCCCTCTCACCCCCCGACATCATCATACATCATACATCATACAGAACTTCCTCAGACAGCGGTTATGCCTCGGTGCTTGCTCTGGTCGCGCGCACACAGTCACTATACAAACAAACCCCCCCCCCACCCCCACCTTCTCCCCTTTTTTTCTCTCTGTCTCTTTCTTCTTCGTCCCCGCATTCCTATTTGGGCCTCAGAATTGCTAATTGGTCTGCCCCTTGCCTCCACCTTCTTCTCTCGATGCTCCGTCTGATACTGCCCACGAGAATTGCGACAATCTCCACGTATGCACACCCCGCGCAGTGGAAACGCCATCACGAGCTACTCGATCGACCACAAGCACCATGAAAAGCTCCCTCAATCTCGCTATCTTCGTTTTGGTGGTGGCTTATCTCTATGGGCCTGTCTGTCACTGGCTTACCGTCCTGGGAGTCTTCCGGGCGGCCGCCGACGTCGTCACAGCGGAGGCCCAGAAGATCCATAAGATCGAGGACACCATGCAATGCGAGGATATGCACTACCATCAACCTTCGGGCTACATCTTCACGGCTTGTGAAGACTCCTTCTTGCCTCGGTTCAAGTGGTTCCCACCCCTGGGTAACCTGGAGGGACCGGCTCCGTCGACCGGTTCGTTTCATCTCATTGATCCCAAGGTAGGCAAAGAATGTCCATTTTAGATGATGGCAATGCCCGGCTCATGGTACACAAACAGACACTCAAGTCCAAGCGACTTGCGTTCGAAAACTTTTCCGGGCCCTTCGTCACGCATGGCATCGATCTTGTTGACGATCCGAACCGCTCGGGTGCCGTTTACATCTATGCCATCAACCACTTGTCAAACCCGGACTACTATGAGGGGCCCTCGGCTGAAGGCACCCCTCGGGCTCACTCCCAGATTGAGCTGTTTCATCATGTGCTGGAGTCGAACACCGTTCGCCATGTCCGTTCAATTGCACACCCCTTGATTGTCACACCGAACGACATCTACGCCGAGAGCCCGTCCTCGATACATGTCACTAACGACCACTTCTACCGAGAAGGAATCATGCGCACGGTCGAAGATATCATGCCGTTGGCCAAGTGGACCAATATCATCCATGTTAATGTCGATATCACTCACTCGGGAAGCGCAGCTACGGGGATTGATGCTGTTGTAGCATGCCAGGGGTACCGAAACTTTAACGGACTGGGACATGGGCAATCCAGCGATGAGTTGCTGCTCAGCAGTGCCGCGGGGGGCATCCTGTACCGTGCAAGGGCAAACCATGGCAACCGCACTCTCTCGGTGCTAGATGAGTTTGCGTTTGAGAGCACGATTGACAACCCGAGCTACTATCACGACCCTTACGCAACCGCTGAGGACAATGCCAGTGGGTATGTAGTCGGTGGTCTGTTGCGGGCAGTTGATCTCCCCCAATCTCGCCGCGACCCCACGGCTCAAGAAGGAGTCATGGTGTGGCACTTGCGTCGTCATGTCGGAGAAACGGCCGAGCCGGAATGGGAAAAGCGTCTCATCTTCGAGGATGACGGAACCAATATCCGAACCGCGAGCACGGCCCTATTACTTCCAGTGGAGCCCAAGGCTCATGCGGACAAGACTGGGATGCTATTTGTGACGGGCTTTGTGTCGAAGAATATCATTGCTGTCGAGGTATCATTATAGGAGATCGTTCTTTACCTAGCTGGAGCCACCACCATCATTGCCCGCACTTCCTTCCCTACAATCTATGATCTCTTACCCTGTTTAACCTCTGTATCGCTCGTTGGAGTTAAGATCAAGTAAAAGCCTACGTAGCCCTCCGCAACGCTCTCACCACCTCCTCGGTCCCCACCACCTCCGCAAACTCGCCTTCCAGACTCGCCAACGAAACCGCGTGCACCGTCTCAGCATCAAAGCCACCCTTGGCCCACGTCGCGGTCGCATCCCCAACCAGGAGGATCCGGCCTTTAGATACCCCTACCGGCGAAACTTCAGGCATACTGGTCCTCGGATCCTGCTGCTGCTGCTGCTGCTGCTGCCCCACCTCCTCCCCGTGACCATGCTCACTGGGATCGGTACTCCGATCCACCACCCCCAGATTCGCCGCCATGCGCACCGTCGTCGACACGCAGTGATCTGTCGTCAGCCCCGCGACAATTAATTGGCGGATCCCGCGCGCGCGGAGATGCGCCTCCAGCCCCGTGCCGATGAAGCTCGAGTTGACGCTCTTCCAGAACACGGGCTCCGAGCCGTCTGCGGCCGGGACGGCGAAATCCAGTGGCTGGCGTCCGTTGACTGGTGAGGACGGGTGGAAGGGTGAGGCTGGATCTGTCGATGTGTGGAAGATGTGGATTACTTCTTTTAGGGCTGGTGATGATGGCGTTGAGGAGGAGGAGGAGGAGGATGATGTCTTTGCAGCACGGAAGGCGAGCAGGAGGGACTGGATGTTGGGTTCATAGAGCCGGTTGGAGCGTGAGGGGCCCCAGTGCGTGGGGTGCGTGAAGGCCGTTTGATTGTCGATTAGAAGCAGAGCGGTGGGCGTGGTGAAGGTTACTGGGGGTCGGTTGCTGGGGGTCATTGTGTTTGCTTGGTGGGTGGGATGCGTGTGGGTGTGCTTGTAAGTGTTGTGGTGGCTGAGGTGGCTGAGGAGGTGTGTTTTCATTCTATCGTTGATTGTGGTGGTGATGTTGATGGAATTTATATAGATCGTGGGTGGAATTAGGTAGGGGAGTGAGTCAGCGATTGGGACTCTTGATGACAAATGCAATTGTAGAACCAGTTCAGAAAGTCGGACGATGAAGTAAGATTGGCTTCGGCTTCATGGGGAAAGCCGGATGAGAGAATCAGAGCTGCTGCAGTGGTGGAATGGGCTCCGGTGTTTGTTGTTTGTTGTTTGTAGCTGCTGGTGTTGACAATGACGATGTTTGATGCCTTACGGACAACCGAGCCGATGCCTGCATGCCTGAGGGTCTTCTAGACTTTAATTTCCCGGTCTTGTAACCCCATCCATCCCATCCCATCATCACCACCATCACCAATCAAAATATCTGTCCTTGTTCGCACATTAACCGTTCAATTCCTTACTACAACACTCAATTGCACTCCGGCAACAATGCCGGCTACCCTCAGCGGCCCCAGGGCCCGAGTTCTTCTCCTCCGATCGCCACCAACCTCCTTAACTAGCCTGAACCTCCTCCGCCATCACCATCACCACCACCAGCAGAAACAGCTAAACAAACACCACTTCTCAACCACCTCAACAGCCCTCAAAACCCACACTCGCCGTCCCTCCCCGCAGTCTGCCAACTCCCCACCACCCTCGCTCTCCTCCACAGCCACGACAACCACCTTCCCAACCGACATCAACCCACCGCCCAGCACCCGCCCAGCAGACCTCAGTCTCCCCTCCGCCCTCGCGCCCTCGGCCTCACCAGCCGACAAGCTCAAGCGTTACATCGCCATCGGCCGCGCCTACGCCAGTTTCTACAAGACGGGTCTCAAGAACGTCTACCACAACTACCGCGCCGCGCTGCCCCTCCGCCGCGCCCTGGGGTTGCCCGCGTATTTGCCGACATCGCCCTCCGCGGCGGTGATCCGACCGCGAATGGTGACGGGTAACAGCAGCGCAAACAACAAGACCGCAGCAGCAACAACAACAATGAAGTCCGCGACGGCGATTTCAGATTCATCAAACAAAGCAGCAGAAGCAGTCATCTCGCGCTCCACGTTTCATCTTCTCCACCGCTCCGCCTACGATATCCGCCGCATGATCCCCTTCACGCTCATCCTGATCGTCTGCGGCGAGATGACGCCGCTGGCGGTTCTGGCGCTGGGGAATGCCGTCACCCCGCGCACGTGTCGTGTGCCGAAGCAGCTGGAGAAGGAGCGCGGGAAGCGCGTGCAGAGGAAGAAGATGGCGCTGCTGGCGCCCGGGTCGGTCACGCCGCCTGAGGTGGGCAGCGATGCGGAGATGAGCGCCATGCTGGAGTTGGTGCGCAGGAGTGCCGTGGACGGAGACAAAGATGCCGTGGGCCGCGCGTGTGCCCTGTTCGGGCTGGCTAAGTCACATCAGCACCCCGCCTGGGCTGTGCAGCTGGTGTATCGCGCGCGGCTGCAGCGGTATCTGGACTATTTGGAGCTGGATGATGAGATGATTCGGAGGGGCGGCGGCGTCCAGGCCATGGAGGCGGCGGAAGTGCGCTGCGCGGTCGAGGAACGCGGTGGAGTCGGAGTCGGTTCGCCGGATCTGGGCAAGGATGGCTGGCAAGTGGAGAGGGAGGAGAGACGGTGGTTGGAGAAGTGGTTGCAGAGGAGGGAGAAGAGGAACTGAGTAAGATCCCGATCCTTGTACAGTAAGTATGTATAGTATGTAAACGTTTCCTCGGACGAGGTCCATTACCAGCAGCAGACGCAGGGACATATAGAAGATATATATTTAGGTGTCATCTTGGACATACAAACTAGACACTCAGAGTAATGACAAGATATCACACACAGGTCCGAAATCGTGTCCTCTCCTGCTTCTTGCAGGTCTCTCCCCAATTTGATATCCGAGTCAACCCCATCCTACTATACAATACAGACCCATCGCACACAACCCAAACGCCGCCCGCAGTAATGCACGCCCATCCATTTCCCTCATTACCGAACAATCATTCCATGTAGGCCAGGTCTCTCACTCTTTTCCTCGCGGGAGGTATATCAAGGAAGAAACTGCCCAGGAGAATCCAAATAGAAGCCGTCGCTGCTAGACAATATGCTGGACAATAAATGATATCCAATGATCGACAAATACAACAAAAACAATTCATCACTCATTAAGACGTCCCGCCGTCCGTACGGGCCGCGCTGGCCGCGGACTGGGCCGCCGCGTTCCGCATTTGCTTAGCCCAGCGCAGGCCACAGCTGTTGCAGAGGTCTCGGTTGCCGCTGGGCCCACGCCGCCACTCTGGGGTGGTTTTCGTCCGGCACATCGAACAGATCTTCTCCACCATGATGGCGCTCTGCTTGCGCTTGCGCTTCTTCTGCCGTGTGATCAGACGCTGCATCTCGTCCGCCAGGGCACGGTTCTGCTTCTCCAGTTCCCGCAGTTCCAACTGCCAGCTGGAACCCCGCGTCGGCGCCAGCTCGGTGAACAGCGAGCTGTCGTACAGTGCTGCCAGGTCTTGATTGCCGGCTGGCAACCGGTTGGCGCCTACCAGCCCAAATAGGTCCACTGGAACCGGCGGCAAGTCTGTTGAGCTAGAGCCGGGGTCGTCGGCTGCGCCCGAGGTCGCCAACTTCGGGAAGCGAAACTGTGCCACTAAGAAAGAGGGAGGGAAACCCCCCACCTTTCCGGGTAGAAGCGTAGTCTGTACCGGTAGCATATGACCCTTGCGATGACGGATCTTGTGGTTGAACGAGACCTGTCGACCAGCCCTCGCGCCCTCGAGTGCCTGAACGGCCTGTGGTCGCGTGTCCGGCGCCATCACGTCTTGGATGCCCTTGCCAATCAAGTCTTCCGGCGCCCGACCCAATGCCGTTCGCGATTTCGATGAAACATAAAGGATAATGCCGGACATCGACAACTTGGCCCAGACGTCATTCTCTGTCAAGCCACCGCGGCCAACAACAGCTACATGATCGAGATCGTACACCGCCCGGGGACGGCCCACCAACACCATGTATTGCCGTCCCCGGTCGGTAATGTGCCATGACCCGTGACATTCAAACCAGATATATCCGCTATGTTTCTTGCGGATGCGGTAAACCACACTCACTGGATCACGAGTAATACAGGCACGTAGCTCGCGGATCACGGGACCGATGTCGCTCGGATGGCAGACGGCCGACAAGCCTTTTCCGACCAGTTCGACCGCGTCATACTCCAGGATCTTGTAACAAGCCGGAGACAGGTAGAGAAATTCCCCCTCGAACGAGAGCACATGAATGACATCGTCCGTGTTTTCTACTAGGACCCGATCGAGCAATTCCCGATAGATGGGCATGGAGCCATTCAAGCTGTCAAGGATAGTTGACACCTGCTCCGGTGCCCACATGGTGATCAGCTCCGGGTTAACGTGGTACAGGTCCGAAGATGGGACTATGTAATTGGGCAATTGACTGCGCTGATAGTTGATCATGTACGTGCCATCTGCAAAAAAACCTGATCAGTCCAGCCCCGACGAATAGCTTAGTTCTTAGGAGGGAATCATACTGGGATTTCGCCGGGTGACAGCGTCGGGCTGCTCCACTAGATCGACTTGGAACCCTACATAAAAGCGGTATTCTGGTCCACCCCATTTGACTGGTATCATTGTGACCAAATTCACAAAGGGTTGCCCACCTTTCCGGTAGTTGATGATACTGGCTTGGATCTCGGACCGATCCTCAATGGTGGACCGGAAACGAAATGCGGTGTTTTCATCGACAAACTTCCGCGGCATGCCCTGGTACACCACTCCATCGGGACCTTGCAGGAACCGACAGTTGTGGCCTACAATCTCTTCCTTGGTGTAACCAGTGAGCCGTTCGAACGCCTCCGAAACATACACAATTGGATGATCACGCTGGGTGATATCGCAGAGCACAAACGCACAGGACAAGTCGACTGCACCGATGTTAATTTTGGCATCCGGTCGGGACACCACTTGGGCCTAAGGGGATAAATCAGTGGGTCATGGCCTCGGACCGGCAAATTGGCGGCTGAACCTACCAGTACCCCCATGATATCGAAGCCACTGCTGGAATAAATGCTGGCATACGGGGATTGGCTACCCGCCTCTGGTTTGGCCTGAGGTTGAAAGGTTGCTAAGAAGCGTAGGAACCGCATCAGCCTTTCGACTCAAATTGGGATAAAAGAAATGGAGCAAGACCCACCCTTTGGCGACGGCCGTTTCGGCTGGATGAATCGATGGGCAACAGTGGTATTCGAGGCTTGTGAAGAGGACTGTTGCTGCACCTCCGCCTGTGCTGCAGCTGCAGCTCGCCGCGAGCCGCTCTGATCACGCGCGGGGCGGGCCGTAGATGTGGAGAGTTCGATGGAGGGCCTGGGCACGGCGGTGACTGCCGGTTGCATAGATTGCGCCGATTGTCTAGATTGTGCTGCTTGCACATGTTGGGCCGCTTGCACATGGTGCGCTGCCTGCACATGTTGCACAGATTGCACAGGCTGGATCGGCTGCACAGATTGCATTGATTGAACAGGTTGCACGGGGGCGCTGAACTCCTGCGCCACGGAAGGAGCCCAGTAAGTGGCCGAGAGGGCAGATTGATTTCGGGGGATGGAATAAGCGGTAGGGATAGGAGGATCCAAATCAATGACTTGGGAAGGCAGGGGGGAGCGCTGCATAGCGGGCTGACGGTCAAAATTGGGATCAAAAGTCCCAGTGGAGGTGGTATGGAAGTTGGAGGCATCGAAAGCAAAACTACTTGCGGCTTCCAAACTCATGGCCATGCCGTGGCCCGCAACGGACATCGGATCGTAAGCATGCATCGAAGCGTCCGGGAAGCGGGCCCCTAGACCGGGCGTCCGGGACGGGCCTGGGTGATGGCCGTGCAGACCGGTTTGGTGCAGGGCCAAGGCATCTGGATGAGAAGGGATCAGGGCGCCAGGGGCACTGTTGGACAAGAGATCCGAGGGGTGCGATTGGTAGGGAAAAGTCTCCGGTTGAAATTGATCGGAACTAGGGTAAGAGAATGGAAGCAGGGAAGCATGCTCGGCGCTAGGGTAAGCGGACTGAGGATCCAGTTGGCGATCCTGGATGGGATAGTGTGCCTGATAGAAGGTGTCGTCGAAGCCTTCCATGGCGGATGAGGGGGGGGGAGGGGAGGGGTCAGGCCGACTCAAGCGGTCGACGGACCAGGTCCGATCGATTCAAGATAAGGCGGCAGGCCAATGGGAATGTGGCATCGAAGCCGCGGCACTGCGCAGGAGGACAAACAGAATCGGTCCGGACTTTAAAAAGACCCCATGCAATTTCGAAGTATGTGGGGAGAGACAAACAGATTAAGGCTTTGGTGTGAGTTCTTGAGAGAAGGAGGACAGGGCAAGAGAGGGGATGGGAGGAGAGGAGAAAGAGGAGAAAAAGACCAGGTGAGGTGGAGCAAGAGAGAGGGGGTCGGAGAAAGAAGGATAGAAGAGGAAGAGGAAGAGGAAGAATGGGGATGGAGAATCCGAATAAGAAGAGTCACAATTTATCAAGACAACAATGCAATACTAATCACGGTGAGTGGTGAACCCATGTTCTGGGGGCTTTTAATATAGTCGAGCGACTGTCCGTCAGCCTTCGGGGTCGAGGGCGAGGAGTGCGAAATGAGCGAAGTGAGCGAAATGATCTATATTATTATTGGGAGAGGATTCAGACGAGGCACAGGGCGAATCTCTGCGCTAAGATAGAGTCGGGAAAGTGAGAGGGGGGCAAAAAAAAAGAAATATGGTGGACGGTGACTGGCAGCCTAGTCGACATCTCGCATAAAGATGCCCACAATGAAGTAGTTGTCCCTCCTCCACACTCGGGTTGGACGTGGGATTATTTCGGGGAGGGGACCACACTTGGTAGGGTAAAGTGGCTGCTGGTACACAAGTAGTTAAATTATGTAGAAGATGAGCCAAGAGGGTGCGTAAAGAAGAGACGAACAGAAGGGGAGAATGGGAGGGAGGGAAAAGAGAAAGAGAGAGGAAGAGGAAGGAATCCGGCCGGGGTGAAGGCGGTGGGAAGGACTGACTGTCTCTGTAACTACTGGACGGGAAAGAGACGAAAAGATTCAACAGCAGCTGTGATGTGTCAATTCTTCCCCCTCTCCCATTTGTGATGCATCATCCTCCATCCACACCAACCAGAATGAAAATCACTGGGGTTGAATGCAGGTGGGGAGAGCGAGAAAGTGAGAAAGTGAGAACAGGCAACCAGCTCAAGTACCACCACCGACCGTGTCTACAGACAGACAACATTCAAACTTCTTAGAACTACACTTATTTCTGACTAGTACAACTTAGTTCTTATTGACAAGATTCCTAGATTACGGGGAACCGGGACACTTTGACAAGTTGACAATCTGACAGACCACCACCGACTACATACAGAAGGAGAAGAGGAGAGGAGAGATGATGCATCCCAGGGGCAAAAGAAAAGATTGACAAAAGTACTGACTGCTAAGAATAACTAACTATCATCAACCGGGCCAGACTCGATCTGTTCAAGTGTTGATCCCTGTCAGACGGACGATGATGATGATGATGATGCTGATGATAAGTTCACAATGAGTCCTTTAGTCGCCCTTCTTAATGATTGCTCCCTTTCCCCAATACCCTTGTTTTCTTCCCCCAAGTCCCTTTCCATCACCCCCGATAAGGAGGCTTCTTCTTCTTCTTCTTCTTCTTCTTCTTTAAACTGGAATGATTCTATTGTTTGTTCCCCTCTCCCTCAACGGTCGCATTGTTCTTATCTACCAATCCTCTATCTATCAATCAACCCAACCTCAAACACCGGACACTTCCACCCGACCATAGTCAACTGCTAAGCTGATGATGGGACTTCAGTTTAAATATCCAGGGGTTCTAGACGTTGCTACCTCCCCGTCTGAGCTCCAACTGCCCTTATAGTAATCACTAACTATCCCCCCCTTTTTTGAAAGCTCTCCTCCATTCGCATACTTTATGCCATCATGAAGGAATCCAGGCGTCTTGACTTCTCCCCTCCCACGCCCTGCACAATCTGTCCGGTCCCCCCATGGATAATAGATTCGTGACTTCAAACTAGGAGTAAACTCACCGATCGCATCCCCCCTGCTAATATCATCCCCTCCCCACGTTGATCCCTCTCGTGCCTGGCTTCGCTTGTTCCTGTGCCTGATTTCCTGCTGAGCGTTTCACTCGGCCCACTGAGTCGGTCGATCACTTATTTTAAATCTCTCTTCCTTCCTTCCTCTTCCTTCCTCAGAGTTGGCAATCCTCATTCCAAATTCATTTCGCTCGCTTCATTGCCCACACACCCCGCTATTGCTTCCTTTGAGTGACGCCATGGTAGACTCTCCGGAGAAAATCTCCATCACTATCTGTGGAGATGGTGGATGCGGTACGTGCCATGGAAAAGGAGACCCCGGATAAGAACTCCAAGGCTTGATGATGGAATCAGCTGCCACGTTCCGCATGCGAACGGTGTCACGAAGAGCGCATCGCGATGGTTCTAGTTCTCGTTCGTGTTACTGATGGAACTGCTTACAATGCAGGCAAATCGTCTATCACCTTGCGACTGGTGCGCAGCCAGTGGATTCATGAGTAAGTGCCGGGGCGAAGGTTCGACTACTCCATGCTCAACATGAACTATGAACTAATCGGGTGCGCCGCGCTAGGTACGATCCTACAATCGGTAACCACCCCTCCACCAACCCCACCTCGCCATCCTTGAGATTGAAGGTAAGAAAGAAAATGTCTAATGCGCGGGAACCACTGCAGAAGATTCATACTCCGTCACGCGCGTGGTTGACGGGGTGCCGTACTTTCTGTCCATCACCGATACAGCCGGCCAGGAGGAATACCGCGGACTATGGACGGCTTCCAACCTGAAATCCGACGCTTTTCTGCTCGTCTACGATATCACCAACCAATCTAGTTTGCACGCCCTAGATTACTTTATGGACCTGATCGAGATCGAGACCGAACAGCGAGCCGAACAGAGTCACCGCCTGCGACAGGAACTGGGAGACAGCGCGGCAGGCTTGCAGGTGGGCATGTCGCCGCCCATCAAGATTGTAGCCGGTAACAAGTGTGACCTCAAGGAGAGTCGAGTGATCGGGGCACCTCAAGGCTTGGAGTATGCCCGCAAACATGGGTGCGGTTTTATGGAGACCAGTGCACGCGAGATGGTCAACATCGAGGAGACATTTGCTTGTAAGTTTCCATCCCGCCCAATCTAGCAGCTCAAGATCTAACTAACAATTGGTTAGTGTTGGTCCGCCGAGTGGTCGAAGCGCGTCGATCCTTCTATCAATCAACCGCTCTGGCCTCTGATCCGGTACATAGCAACGCCCTGGTTCCAGGATTGAACTCCACAGCTAGCACCATCGTCCATTCACCCTCCGTGGAACTGCCGTTGAAGCACGTAGCAGCACCTCGACAACGCGGCTTTGGTTGGCTTCGGGAAAGGAAACGAATTCGTCGGGGACAGGGCGCGAGCCATTACTATGGCAACTCCGACTCCCTGCCGTCGAGTCGAGAGAAGGAGCAAAAGCCGTCAGCAGCCAGGACGAGCTGGCGACGAATATGGTGTTTCTAGTCCAAGTTGGGCCAGCCTTCCTTGGTCTTCTGGCTTGGGCCTGTTTGCGGTCAATTGCGCGTATTATATTCATATACCCCCTGTTTCAAAATGTACATACCTACTACAATCGCTGTTGACTGAAAGTTTCTAGTCAATCTAGCCCTTCGAAGACCACCTTGCAATGGTTATTTCGGGGAGTTAAGGTTCCTCTTAGCGCATGATGAGACGAACAGCATGCGGCTCATCGAGTGAAGGAGCCGGAATGAGCGTAATGCACAGACGACGACCGTCCCTGCATGAGGTCATGGGGTGAGTCCAGATCGTGGTCCGAAGTCAAGCCGTGCCTTATCGTCGGCCTGGACTGCTAGGTCAGCCAGTGTCTGCCCATGTGCTTACGGCCGAAAATATCCTCCCGTGCGGATTGAAAGCCACCCGATGGGTGTGATACCTTACCTTGAGGTTCCTTCAGCCCAAAGTCCAACCCATGTGCCTCTCTCCCTTTCCCTGGAGTGGGGACCGCTCGGCAAAGGAACGCGGGATGACGCTATGGTCGTTAAGAACCCACGATCCGCGGGGCGGGTTCTAGACTCGCAGCATTTTCATTGAATCCGACCCTGATTGCCTGACTGAGGCTGGGGGAGAGACTAAGGCGCCGCCCACGATACTAATCGACAACTCCATTCATCCGTTCCCCGTCTGTCTGTCGATCCCCTCGTGGCCCGACGGAAGAGTGTCACCCAAGGTCGTCTTCTTAGGAAGATGATCAGATGGCAATCTCAATCAATAAATTGCGACTCGTATCAAACTTGCCCAAGTGAGAGGGCGGCACAGGGTGGAACTAAAGGATGGGATAACAGTATGCGGAAAGAAAAACGAGAAGACAGAAGAAGACAGAAAGGAAGGGAGAGCGAGAGAGAGGCAACGAGAAGTCCTTGGATCATTGATCGCAAGGCCGGGGAAAGTTAATCTGGTCTACTATCAATAGTGGCGCAACCATGAAGTCAATTCCAGCAGCTATCAGCACCGCTGTAGTGCTGCGAACAGCTTGATTGCAACCGAGAGGTTGGAAGCTGGAAGAGCCAATCGGAGGCGGAGCAGATGGATGGTGGGTGGTTCTGTACATCGGCGAGCGACAGGGGAAAGCGTCGGTGACATGATCCAGCTACCATGTTTTTCGGTTTTCTTTTTCCTCTTCCTTTTCTTTTTTCTTTTTTTTTTTTTCTTTTTCAAAGTCCGATGGTGCATGGGATGGAAGTATGTCAACGTCATTGACTGAACTATCGCATCTCGTGGTGGAAGCGGGGGAGAGGCCAAGCATTCTCTTCTCCCCTTCGGAGAAAGAAAGCGAAGCGATCGGACTGGAGTAAAGAACAATAACGTTGAACCCGAACTCATTACCGATCAGCAAACGACACTCTGAAATCATCCAAAGCTTATAGAGATGATTCCTTGTTCCTCGTCTCCCGGTAGTGGCAGTGGCAACGAAAGCGCATCAGTCTGCTAGTTTAAAGCTTCCCTGGAGGATAATCGGACACTCGGTGTTCGAAACGGCGTCTGTGATGACTGTACTAAGTCTGTCCGGTAGGTACAGTACCAGCTGGTCGATTCGAGACATGTATGTACATTTGACAACTACTACTGCATTCACACAATAGATTGGAGGGGTGGGGTGGGAGGGCACTTTTTCAGATCGCCGACTTGGCAAAGGAGACAAAACAACCGCCAACCCACGCGGTTAGTTCCCCGACAACTAAGTTCGTTCTACGAGTCTACTAAAGTAGGTAATTAGGAGTAGTTAGTCCTCTCTTCTAAGTTGAAAGCTCCCGGTTTCTGCTGCTCGGCATGACTTTGCCGAGAACTGCCCAGGTGGGAACTCTCCCAAGAACGGTTCTTGTGCCGTAATGCCGAGCTTATGCAAGGGTGAGATGTCATACCGATGCAGTCTTTGCGTATCAGTCATGGTTACCGTCTGGTAATAGAAACAACATCCCCCCTTCTACGATGTTTAAGCACTCTGGACGAGTGACGACCGCACAAGTACCGGAGATAATATGGTATTATGTGAGAGACCTTGTTTGTGCTCGAAGATTTCCTTGTTCTTTAAAGATAAGTCAAGCACCAGGCCACAACCTCCTAGACATCAAACGCCGAGGAATTGAAATTCCGGCAAGCACCACAATCGGATATACGGCTTCCGTGTAATGATTTCCCATCCGCTCCACTGGAAGTTGTGGTTATTTGAGTCTGTTGACTCATCTGGGAGAGACCCTCACGGGACGGAAGATAGAACCAGAAATAGCCATCATGTCAATCGGGGTTGAAGAGCAAATTTTGCTTCAACGGGGAAATTTCCCCCCCTCCCCTTAAGCCTAGTAGAGGGGGGGAAACCTCACAACCCCGGGGTCCGACCGTCCGAGCCTAGACCCGCGACTCCGATTCAGGCAATCACTGCAGGCGGCATCCTTGATGGATGATGACTGAAGGACTGAGCCTGGAGGTGCCCTGGGCAGTGGCTCCCCGTTCCGTTATCCGTGATGTGTATTCAGGTAACATTACCTACCTCCATGATGTATTTGTAGTATTCGTATCGGCAACTAGGTACGGTATGTAATCATGAATAGGTGTAGATGCAGGTGTGGTGTATGAATGTATGTATGTATGTATGTATGTATGTACTGTACAGTATTTATACATCTTTGCTAATTCAGTTCCAGTTACATCCACGGATACCCGGCCAGACAGCTTGTCGGCCGACACTTGTTCTGACTTGGAAGTAGATATGCAGTCAGACCAACTTCATGTTCTTTTGGTCCCTTTTGGAAAGAGTACTACTTTAGGTAGAGAAAGGAGATGATGTCAGTTTGACCAGCAAGCGCTTATTGAATACCAATAATAAAGGTTATACAGGAAGTAGCAGATAACCAGCAGCAACCAAATAGTTCAATGCGAACAGGTATTCTGTATTATTCAACCTGAATATTTACCGATGGGAATATTCCCCACCAGGAGGTGCTGAACCTCAGAAAGTCTCCATCACACAGGGCTCCAGGAGACTGTCAGACCAATGATCGACCCTACCAGGCCGGACCCGATCCAACAAGTAGGTCTGCGTCAATCCTTGGGCAGGTCTGGGTCAAGAGAACGTATGCATTACAGCCGCTGCCCGTAAACTACGGATGACCCGTGCTGGAAATCATCCTTCGGCTTGATTACTTGAGATGCAACTAGACCATTTCTAATCAATATAATAATAATCATAATTTCTTCCATATTTGCTCCCTCCTCCTCCTCCTCCTCCTCCTCCTCCTACTTTTACTTTTAAATCCCTAAAGGCCTCCAATCCGTTTCCTACTATACTTCCTTGAAGTTTGGTCTCGAGCTCATCATTCTCGCCCGCGGCTCTCTCCTCTTTGAACACAACTCTATACTATCCCAGCACTACTACCACTTCTATTATACTTGCTAACCCTATCTCGAATCAACCTGACTTCGCCCGAATTTGGATCATTGCAACCCTACCCAGTCTGTGGATCGATCCAACTTGTTCCTTCGGCGTTCCATTGACTCATGCGCCTCACATTGGCCCCGAAGCTTGAGATTGAAGTGATTACATCGGTTTTACCTTTTATTCCCCAAGATCGTTATATCATCGACCAACCTTAACCAACTCCCCGTCGAGACTCGGACCCTTACCACATCTGCTGCTTTAATTGACTACAAGATCCTACCACCGGTCCCTGGCGCCGCTATCATCATTTCTCTCTCTCTGGATACCCCTCTCTCTTCTCACTTTACCTTTCTCCCTCCTTCAGCTCTTCGCTCTCTTCGCTCCTGTCATTCGACGAGCACCCGAATAAAAGTATAATCACACAATATACATACACACACACATCTATATATACACAATGACAGCACGCCAATCGTCGCCGACTTCGGACCACTCGCACTCAGACGGCAATGTCCGCAAGAGAGTCTGTAAGGCATGCGATCGGTGTAGGTTGAAGAAATCTAAGGTAAGCTTAATCATGGCTCGACGCATCAGCTCTGGTCTGATGCACTGACCCGGCGCAGTGTGACGGAGCCAACCCATGTGGTCGGTGTAGGACGGATAATGCCATTTGTGTCTTCGGCGAGCGAAAGAAGGCCCACGATAAAGTGTACCCTAAGGGGTGAGCGCGTTCCTTGGCATTGAGCTTTTGTTACTAGTTTGGTTGTCTCAGAACCCCTGTCTGACTCCGTGACTTGCAGATATGTTGAGATGCTCGAACAACAACAGGCGTGGCTTGTCTACGGACTCCAGGAGCTGTACCGACGAGCGACAGACGGCGAAGGCTGGCCCGGGGAACCGTTGCAATGCGAGCCAAATGGTCATCCTCTGACGCACGACCTGCTGACCAGACTGGGAGCGCTGGACCAGACGAAAGGCGAGCGCTTCGAAGAGAATCCGGAGGTCATGCAGCAAGAGCTGTGGACACAGAATGGCAGACACATGCAACGCCAAGATTCATCTGATGGAAGCTCTGAAAGCGCCCAATCGCCCGTCGTTCCCGCTCGATTTTCGGATCCCTTTGGATTGCCACCCACGCCGACTACCTTCAGCGCACCTCCGCGCCCTCAGGGAGCCCCGATCAAGACTGAACCTCAGCTAGCCCCATCGAACCCGGCATTCACGACTCCCATGACCATGCAAGGTGTTGTCAACCCCTTGGCGCTTCAGACCCCGCAACAATGGCCCAGCAACAACTTCAGCTCTTTCGAGGATATCGACTTAATAGGCGCATCCGAATACACGAATCTATCGTTCGATGAGCAGGTCTCTTCGCCTATGTTCAACCGTCAGATCCCCATGAGCTGCATGTTGACCTCGTCATATATGGATACGAAGAACGATTATGAGGATATCAATCAATTTCTGAATGCGAATCCCCCCGAGATCGCATCCACTTAGCAAGCCTCGAAGAACCCGCGATATCACTAAGCTATGACTTGTTTTTTTCTTTTCCGAATTCGACCTTTGAGTTTCATACATGCATGTAATCGTATACATGCATGACCTGTCCCGTCCACCATCTCATCTGGTGCCGGTTTCTCTTCTCTTGATGACCAGTGCTCTTCCTTTCGCGGGCGGAAGGCATTCGGCAGACTGTACAGTGTCTTTTCCTTCTAAGTGGCTGGTCTCATACATCCCCCCTCTTGGGAAACGAAGGAGTGTACAGCTTTCCTTTTGGACTTTACTTTTATTTTAAATTTCAAGGGCAATCGTTCGTCTTGGTTTTCTCCGGAACGGCTTGGGTCGAGGGATTAGGTTTGTGATGACGCTGGTGTCTCGGTGCTTTCGGTGTTGGCGTTTTAAAACAGTTGGCTGGGCGTTTAAACTACCCGCGTGCATTTTCCGAGTCATTATTTTTCTCTTTTCTTCTCTGGTGTCTCGGCCCTGGGTATCGTGGGTATCGGATATATTGCAGTCCTTACTATTCATATCCTATACAGCGTCTGAATATATTATAATTCATGAAGTTTGTTAGGATGATTAGCCGAGAAGTGACCGAACTTCAGCCAGGCTGGGAGGGCGGGTGACGATGAGACTCCCGCCCCGGACACCGCCCTGACTAAAACCGGCGGTGGAGGACGTCATACTCCTGCGGTGGGCTTTGGTGTCAGCTTTTCTTATCTCCGTCTTGACTGTCCGATGGTGATCCGAAGCGCAGATCGTGACACCTCGACTCAACCTACTCCAATCATCTCTTTGGTCGGTCTCGGTTACTGCCTGGCTTATAGTCTACGCGATCCAAGGATATCTCGCGTATTGTTCTTCTTTCGTTTTCGTTTTCCCGTTTGGAAGCCATTATGTTGTTCTGATGGAAGGGGCTCGCAACGGCTGGTGCAAGTGTTGAATCATGATGAGAAAAGCAAGAAAAAGAGGGTCCAGTCTCCACTCATCGAATACCACGGAGCAACTAACGAAAAGCACAGTTTGGTTCTGTGATGGGGCCCAGCCTCAAGCGAACTCCTGCCGGGGCTCCTCTTTTTACCTTTGGTTTCTACTTGTCGCCTTGGCTTGACGGCTTTGTGCCTCTTCCAGTTCCAGTCTATGTTTCGTGTCCTCGATCCCGAAACGGTTATTGAACAAGGAAGAGCAAAGAGAGAATTGCTCAGCCCGTAATGCCGACCGCCCTATTGTGAACACTGGAGCTACTGTACCTTAAACCAACTCGGCGCCTTACGCTAAATCCCGGTGATTTGACAGGATCTCATCAAAGGGATGCACCTGCAAAAACCTTGTTTGCAAAATTTTTTTTCTTCCGGATTACGGAGGTTTCTAAATCCCACCAGCTCCATTCCGGAGTCCGTGATCCACGTGTTTTATGCACTTACGGCCCTGTGCCTTTGACATCCTCGTTTGCTAATTTGATTTTGTCCCTTTCCCCCTTCGGCCATTTTCTTGACCCCATTAGGTCTGCACCCCCTTTGGTGTCCCCCTTGATGGACGGAGAATTGATTGACTATGGACAGGCCAGCTAACTGCCAAGGTAGGAACGGCCATGGAAGCGGCACTGACAGCAGACGTCTACTTAGTTTCCATGCCTTATAAACGACTAGGAATCTGTTAAGAAGTCCCAGTCCGTGGTGAGTCGAGGAGTTCGAACTTCTCGGCCATCTGCCTTGGCCCTTATTCTGCCAGCAGGGTCTCCGCTTTCCTTACGGAATTTTGATTCTACTGCAAGCGCACGCATATCGCACAGGTGCGCAATCACTCACTATGAGAGTATGAGTAGTATAAGTATGTGGTAATGTGGAGGTCAATCTGGCTCCACATCGTCAGTTCACCTTAAGCCACTCAGGTACCGAGATTAGGGGCCCCTCTTGACTTAGCGTCTCAAAAAGTCAAGACTGCAAATGACTTCCTTGATGATTGATGGAGACGCTCGACAGGAGGAAGGCGAAAAAAAGGCCCGATCACATGCCCGACTCCGTCCCGATTTCTCCGAATGGGTTCGGAGTTTACCGCTTTGGGGATTGTTCGACGCTTACAGCCCTGACTAATCCAGTCCCCGAACCGCTGGAAGCTTCTGAATCATTAATCAGCCTCGCTGGGCAAGCAGAAGAATGAACTCGACTCGCATCTAGAACAAGGGAAACCCAAACTTTGGGGAGGGGGAGGAGAAGACTGGCTTTATAGGTGGATACGAGACACAAAAGAGGTTCCATGCCAGGAACTCGTATAGTACAAAGAACTGACTGTCAACTTTTCCCACTAACCATAATATTACCGAACGGTGTGCGCGATTAATATCTGTCACCGCAAGGACCAACTACATGTATACTAAGCAGGGTGCACGGTCGAGCCTGCAAATTTTGGATGCCTATGTATGCAACGTATGGCCGTGGTGGTGGAGTTGGGGGTAACAAAAGGAGAACGAGCAATGATTACTCATTCTGTGATGATAACAAACCAATTAGGGGCACCATTGAACCCTAGAAGGAATGAAATATGAGCCTCGCATAGCTTACCTACCCCAGAGGATGTTGCATCAATGTATGTATAAATATGTATGCATGCATATGCAGCTGCGGTGGAAAAGAATAGCTGACTCAGCTGATAGTCCTCGGCAACGGAAGCCCACGCACTCCGTCACCACCGACCCGAAGCCCGCAAGCCGGGGCTGGCGCTGTCCGCTGTCCGCTTTCCGAGCTTCATATGGAGATAGAGCTCCATGCTTCGTTCTTTGAGGTGGACAGTATGTATATACCTGTCTGATCTCGTACAGCATGTACCGCTGTGATTGGGTTGATCGAGACACCGACGCTTTTTGATTTTATGACACAATACGCATCTTCACGTCTAGAAGCAGCTGGTGAAACCATCACAATATCATGCCATCAGGTCCTCTCCATGCGGCCTAGACTCTATTATCTGGACCAACTGATTGTGGACCCGTTAAGCACTCACTCATGCTTGGCTTCGGTGAATGGATGAGCCATATCCCATACAGACTCATAGATGTCAATGATAGGGCCATTGCCCACCAGGAGAGAAGATCCAACCTCAACTATGTGCCTGAGGCATTTTCCCCGGAAGTTTACCCGATCAGGCCGAGCTGCCACATGGCTCTTCGTGGTTTAGCCTAATCTCCCCTCTGAAGAGCAGCTCTTCGCATGAGTTGTGTAGAGCTATTTAACCGATGTGACTGGGTTATAAGGTGGGGTTATCTTACTTTGGACTTTCAGACTGGCCAGTCTTCGCTCTACGCCAATCGATCAAGTTCGAAGCCACAGGGTTTCCCACTGTTTTTGAGCGCTGGGGGAAAACACGCAATTGCGGGGTAAACAGTGGGTGGATTTTCGAAGCCCCTCGAACGGATCTTGACCCCATTATATTCCCTTCTCTTCGACCGACTCTCCCTCTCTCTCTCTCTCTCTCTCTGTCTTCCTGATCTGCCACTTGAAGCTTCAGATTCATTCTGCGTTCCTACCAGGCTATCAATAAAACAACATGGGCGACAAAACCTCCGCCAAATTCACCACTCTGGGTGCCATCATCCAGGAATTTAACGTGGACGGCCAGAACATCGTCCAGGGCTTCGCTACGAAGAAACTGTACGAAAAACACAACAGCCCCTGGTTCGGTGCCAACATCGGCCGGGTGGCCAATCGGATCAAGGGCGGAATCATCCGCAATCTCAATGGCCGTGAATATCAGCTGGAGCAGAATGATCCTCCCAATGCCCTGCATGGCGGCAGTCAAGGCTGGGGCCGATGCGACTTCGAGGGTCCAACGGTCCTACAGCGAAACGGCAAGGAAACCCTACTTTATACCTATCGGAGTGTCCATAACGAAGCCGGGTACCCGGGCACCGTGGACTTGAAGGTCTTCTACACAGTCAGCGAGGAGGTGGACGGTGACATCACCCGATCGGTGCTGGATATTGAGTACGAGGCCGAATTGGTCGGCGATGAATGTGAGGAAACAGTCATCAATTTGACCAACCATAGGTATGTGGGGGACATTTGCTCGAGGGGAGCGGCATGGTGTGCGTTGGAATCAAGTCACTCAAAGCTGACCAAATTGGGTGGGAACACACAGCTATTTCAACCTGGGCAGTGGCGCAACCACTGAAGGCACTATCGCCAAGCTGTCTACACAAGATTACTTGCCCCTGGAGGGTGGGATTCCACGCGGCCCAATCGAACCGTATCCCAGCGAAGTGACGAAAGATTTCACCTTCGGCCCTGACAATCAGTTCGACGATATTTTCGTCGTGGAGCGCGAGATCGCCCGCGTGCCGCTCGATACGCGCGGACAGCCCCTCCAGCTGCAGGCCGAGTTCCGCCACCCGGCCTCGCATCTCAACTTGCAGGTGTACAGCACAGAGCCTGCATTCCAGTTCTACACGGGCCAAGGCATTGACGTGCCGGCCACGGAAGGGAACCCGAGCCGCGGGCCGTTTGCTGGCTTTTGCATCGAGCCCAGCCGCTTCGTCAACGCCATCAACGAACCGGCCTGGCGGCACACCGTGGTGCTGAAGAAGGGAGCTCAGTACGGCAGCAAGATCACCTATAAGGCTTGGAGAGACCCGAGGTAAACTGCCGCGGCAAAGGACTTTGGCCCGATGGGGCTGAGGAGGTGGGAGATGGTCATGCCATTGATCGGTTGAAATGATAATCAATATTAGCGTCTGAGTGATAGTCGATGTTAGCCTTGGATCTCGGCATCTACACTCCGATCAAGGCCTGTAGACTACACGTAGCTTGTCATCAAGAGTGGCACAGGTTCCGTTCTCGCTCTTTTCACACAATGGAAAAATTTTTTCTCGACGCTTACATCATGCGACATGCTTGAGTTCAGTGTGCCGATTTACCCTTATCACCGTGATATGTATCCGAAGCAGCGTGGGGCCAGGAGAACGGATCTTAACAGTGGGAACTCGACTCCACCAGACTTGAGAGATGAAAGGAAAGATCAGGCGAAAAGGCCTCACAACGATTCTCTCCCTCTATGGAAGATTCCTAGTTAGTGACACTAGATACTAGATAGTAGTACGAGTAGATAATAATACTCCCATATGATCTACAGTGAACCTTAGCCCACTCATCTTCTCCCTGAATGACACTCGATGCGGAAAGTAGTCCATATCGAAGGCAGTGCTTGATATTTCTGAAATTTTAGGTCTCTCTTCTTATTCCACTAGGGGTACCTGGTCAAAAGGACAAGGGAAAAAAAAATCGCTCATTCAAGACGCCAAGGGTTTCTGGAATCTCACTAGAAGCCACAGCGAAAGGTTGAGAGTTATTTCTGGGAAGATATCTTACTGTTTCTCTGGCATCTTGCATGCGCCATGGCGTCAGATCGAATATATTAAAGATTAATGCCTCAGGCGAATTGACGACCTTTACTATATTTATGCTCATGTGTTTTGATCCATGCAGCACCGTCTAGTTAACTAAACAATGATTGTAAGCCAGGCAATACCGGTCAGTATTCAGGACGGTATGCAAAAACCACCACGTAATACCGGAAATGCGGAAGAATACAGCAATACGCACAGTGTATTGGGAGTTCGGAGGCCGAAAGCGCGGGAGACGGAAACATTCCAGTCCCGGGCAAAAGCTTGGCGTGCGGATCAGTCTTACTTAAGCCAATCTGCTCGACTGCGGACTTAACCCCAGACATAGCCCCGTTAAATCCCTCTCCCTCTCTCCCTCTCCCCCTCAGAGGCTCAAGCTACATAGCATAAACTCATTCTCAGGTTGCCAACTAGCCATCCAGCCATCACACGACCAAATGCTGCAGGGCAGGGCGAAAGCAACATCCTTCCAGTCTGACCATGAATGCATAATGCATAACACGATAATGCCCTTGCACAAACCAGCTTCACCCGCCCAAAAGCTGAGGATTGCGCCCCTTGTTGATAAACGGAAATTGCTTACCCCGCATAGGTCATCCCTATCTTCTCGAATGAAGGTAGGAGACTGACACCGCCCTTTCTTCCGGTGGCTTGCGCTTGTCAACTGTCACAGTCACCGGTATGCATCGTGATAGAAGTTGTGGACGAGCAGCATTGACTGCATAGATGCGGAAACCTGATCAGATATGCATTCGTGTCTACCCTCTACAGCCCGCCCGTGTGAGCTCATCCTTCCCACTAGCGACAGCTAGCGTAAGGAAGTGTATTACATCTGATTACAATTGCCGATCAACCATTTACGATGACAATCCAGCAAGACCGTGCTTACAATCGCTGATACAATCTTGCTGCCTAATGCCGGTTAAACATAACTACAGACCCCATAATTATTGTGGAGGATCGGATAACGAGGCTTTGACGCCAACCGTATCCACGGCTCCCATGCAGCGAAGAAAGTGAGAACTGACGATTCCTCGTGAGTTGGCGCGCCTTGGGATTCGAGCATCGCGAATCCGATGGGCGTCAAAGCTCTTTCTTTCTTTTTTTGTTGACAGATGTCATGATTTCCAGAGCTGGAGCTCGGTGCTAGTAAGGATCCACGGGTCGACGTAGCAACCCTCGTGTTCGTATTCGAAGTTAGACACGCGTATAGCCGTCGAGAAAGGAAATTGGCAAGAGGATGTCTGGCCATTGGTATAGTATTGACTGCTTGATGACAGGCTCGGTAGCTGCCAATACATTGTCATTTACTTCAGCTACTGAAGTCCTACGAATCCATTCTGGACATACTGTACCTTCATAACTGCATAACTTTTTATGCACATAAGCGATCTACTTCTAAGTATGGACATCGCACGTGACTCTTCTTTCCCCGGAAGCACCCGAGGGAATTTCCTGCCCCGCGTGGGGTTGACTTTCCGAACTCATCTTCTATCCTGCTTCACCACCACCACCACCACCACCACTTCCTTCTTCTCCCCTGCTCGGACCACAATGGCTGCCAAACACGGTGATCTCAGTCACCTCCTACCCGGAAACTACAAGCGTCAAATCACCGCTTGGCTGGAAGAAGACTGCCCCAGCTTCGACTATGGCGGCTTCGTCGTGGGGGATTCCGAAGGCGAGGCCCGGTTACTAGGCAAGAGCAGAGTACGGCGTCCCACTGAAGAGCGTCCTCGAACCTCTTCAGCTAACCCTTCGTGCAAACAACTAGGGTATCATTGCAGGTGTCCCATTCTTTAATGAAGTTTTTGCACAACTCGGATGCACGTACGTCAAATCCTAACCAAAACGACAAACTACATCCACTGCACACATTATACCTCCACTTCCACCTCCACCTCCAACCCCACCCCCCACCACCCAGATCTCCCCTCACTCACCAGCGGACGCATTATATGCATACATATCCATTAACATCCAACAGAGTAGAATGGCACCTCCCCGAAGGCTCCCCGACCACCACCTCAACCTCCACCACCGACACCATCAAAACCCACTGCGCCACCGTCCGCGGGCCCATCCGCAAGATCCTCCTCGGCGAGCGCGTCGCCCTGAACATCCTCGCCCGCTGCTCCGGCATCGCCACCAAGTCCGCCGCCCTGGTCGCCGCCGTGCGCGCCCAGGGTTGGACCGGCACCCTGGCCGGCACCCGTAAGACCACCCCGGGATTCCGCGTCGTCGAGAAATACGGCATCCTGGTCGGCGGCGCCGACCCCCACCGCCACGACCTCAGCTCCATGACTATGCTGAAGGATAATCACGTCTGGGCGTGTGCGAACAACCGCGCCGCGGCTGGAGGAGTGGAGGACGGCAGCGGCGTCGCAGGTTCGATTGCCGCCGCCATTCCGCGCGCGGTCGATGCCGCCAAGGCGGTCGGCGGCTTCGCGACCAAGGTCGAGGTCGAGGTGCGGGATCTCGAGGAGGCGAATGCGGCGATCGCTGCCGGAGCGGATGTGATCATGTTGGATAATTTCACCCCGGAAGGCGTGCGCGAGGCCGCGCGCCAGCTCAAGGCGGACTGGGCTCTGAAGCGGAAGTTCTTGATCGAGGTCAGTGGTGGGCTGACCGAGGAAAATGCCGCGTTGTATGCTTGTCCCGATGTCGATATTTTGTCTACTAGTTCCATCCACCAGGGTACTGGCATCGTCGACTTCTCTTTAAAGGTATCCTTACGGTGAGTTGGCCGAAGGCCCGGCGCCGGGAGTTACTCTTACGATGCTACGTTGTGTATATCTATCTATGTAAACCGTGATTCATAATTCAAGTCTCCAGCCTTGTTCTTACCGGCAAAACTGCTGGGCAATGCCGCTCGGGTCTGTCTTGATCTCTGGGTGCTTTCTTTCCAATCGATGTCCAAAAACGTTTATCATTTGCCTTATGCATTGGCCACGTCCTTACCTGGCTCGACTCTGTACTAGCTGAAACCTATCCAGAGCATCACATGGGCCACGGAACACACCCTGTGAGTTGAAAACATACTCCAACAAAGGAACAAGACCGAAAAAAGAAGGGGTATCTGGTACACACGCACAAGACCGCAACAATATAGAAGATCGTTATCAACAGGTGGGGCCGGGTAAATAAAGCATCCGCGGCAATAATCAAGATAATGATGATTGATGCAAGAGCACATAACGATACAAGTAGTTCAAAGGAGGTGACTCGGGTGCAGAAAAATGGGGAAAAGAAACGGACGGCCCTTAAGGCTCCACCTCGATATCAACGCATATCCCCTCTCCCTCGCTCGAACTTAGCTCCTCGTCGCGATGGCGCTCATACCCCTCGCTCGTGCCGGGATCGGAACCATAGAGTTGCCTTTGAGCTGGCACGCGCATGTGATCGCCCTCGCCGTCGAGTGAAGATGTCGCAGTCGACATGCCTTGATGCAAACGACGTCTCTCCAGCAGAGCGCGCAGTCGCTGATTCTCCGCGTCACGCTCCTCGAGCCGCTTGCGCGCCCCGCTGCGGTCTACGATTCGAGCCTCCCGTTCAGCTTTGAGTCTCTTCTCCAGTTCGCGCAGCCGTTGGATCCACCTCTCACTGTTGCTGGGGTCGGCCGATAGGGGCTGGGATCGTGAGCCTTGCACAAGGGCACTGGTGGCCTCGGCTAATGTCGTGGTTGATGAAACGGTGGACGGTTGTGGAATGCCGCTGGTCGAGCTCCGCACCAGACCTCGCTCCGGTCGAAGAGGGTTGGAGGACCTCTCAATTGCCGAATGGTGCCGAACCAGGGATGCTGGTCCTGCATTTGCCGTGTTCTCTGGGCCCAGGTTGCGCGTGGGCGAAAGAGGGCTGTGGGACCCCATCCCTGCAGCAACCGCCGCTGCAGAGGTCGGTCCTCGACTGCGCGAATGAGACTGCAGTAGGTTAAGTTCGGCCTTGAGGAGTCGGTTCTCCCCACGAAGTTTAGCCATTTCCGGAGACACCCCCGACAGGCTGCGGTTGTGCTGTTGAGCACGCATGTTCATCATCGATTCCTCCAAACGATCCAGCTTCTTGACTCGCAGGTTGAAAGTGTGTTCTAGTGACTGGTATTGTTTGGTCAAATCGCGCTCGACACCCTTGATGCGAGTCTTGAACCCCGAAATCACGTTCTCTAGTGTCTTGAGAGCGAGCAAAAGATTGCGGCTGAAGCCGGGCCAGAAGAGGATGTTACCGATGACTTCCTGGCTCGGCAGGTTGCCGTTGATCAAACTGTTGGAGTGAGCCCAATCTGGCCCGCACATCAATGACAGGCGCTTCCAGATGGCTAGGAGCATTGCATTCCTCTCACTCAGCTGATCCTTAAATTGTTGTTCCATGGTCGTCAAGCGCTTCCGATCCAGGCTCCGGGCATTTTCCAGATCTGAAATGCGTGAATTGTTCTGCGTGATTGTCCGGGTGGCCTGAAGATGTGATTTGAGGGACTGATCAAATGATTGCTTGTCGGCGCGGCGAGCCTGGCGTTCACGGTCAAGAAGCTCAGCCAATTTGCGTGACTCCAGACCGTGAGTTTCCAGTAGCGCATCCCGATTGCGTAACAGCGACTCCTTTTCGTCGAGTTTAGAGCGGGTACTCTCAAGTTCGAGGGCAGTCGATTCGAGTTCTTTCTGCAGTTTCATGATATTAGAAATGAGACCTGAGCGACTGCCGGTCAAGTCACCCAATGTCTCACGCAGGTTGTTCTCCAAATCCATCAGCCGCTCTCGCCAGGTGTTCGTTTCGATCTCCTGTGTCGAGAGGCTCTTCCTTAGTTTGCGCACCTCCTCCTTGGCCGTGGATGCTTCGCGATTAAGCTCATTAATGATCCGCTGGACTTCTTGCTTCTCCTTATTGCCCAAAACTTCTCGCTGGTGTCGCTCCTCAGCCAGGCGCTCTTCCAGCTCCTTGGATTTATCTTTCTCACTCTGAAGTGCCAGCCTGTATGTCTTGAGCTCCGACTCGAGGTCTCCAATCCTGATCTTATCGCCATCCTGCTCTTCCCGAAGAAACGCAATCTCGTTTTGGCTCGATTCGATTTGAACCGTCAGTCGCTGGACTTTGATGTTTGACTCATATAGACTCTTTTCCATAGATTCCATCTCACGGTTACAGTCTTCCAGCTCCTGCTGAACAGCCTTGTATCGCTGCAGATTGTTTTGCGCATCCTCCTCGAGCCGGATGATTCCCTCACTAGCCGAGCGCATCTCAGCCTGCAAAGCCCTCAGGTTCTCATCCTGCACCCTCAGCTCTTCGTTCAGTTGTTGACACTCATCCACCTTCTGGTCCAATTGCTCTCCAACAGTGTCTATCTCCTCTTGCGCTTCGGATCTCAGATGTTGGAAAGCCTCGTGGCGTTCCTCTGCCAATTGTAATGCCTGATCACGCTCCTGCAACGCCTGATCGCGCTCCCGAGTCAAAGCCTCAAGCTCTTCATCGGCTTGCTCTACATCTGCCGAGTAAGCCTTGTCAACAGCCTCTAGATCTCGAAGGTAATCATCGGCTTGCTCTCGAACAGCTTGATTCTCGAGCTTCAAGGCCGAGACCTGGTCACGCAATTCTCCAATCCGCACTTCCAGATCTTCTCGCTCCGCTTCGTCACCCGGAGAATGGCCTGTTTCGTCACTAGCCCGTGACGGGGCCCTGCCGTGAGCTCGGGATGCCGAGCGGTCGAAAATACTGTCACCTGCGACTGATCGACTGCCATCGCGGCGCTGGCCTAATTTCAGTTCCTCGATCTCCTGATATAGACGCTCTTTCTCCCGATTACGAGATGTAAGCATCGACGTCTGCGCGCTAACTTCCTTCCGCAGCTCTGCATTCTCCTGTTTCAGCAGCTCCAGTTCCATGACCAGTGTAGAACTGGAAGAGCTTCCAGTGTTGGCATTGCGGATGAAGTCCCTTTCGGAAGCGGCTGAAAACGAGGCTACCGACCCTACCCGGTCTCGCTGCCCAGGTCTCGCGGAAATCAGTGGGAAGCTCATCATCTCGGTCCTTAGACGCAGAGCTTCCTCCCGAAGTCTCTTGTTTTCGTCCTCGGCCTGTTCACGTGCTGCAGCCTCTGCCTCGAGCATGTCCTTCCACATGTCCTGCGTCGTGAAACGTTAGTAACGTGAAGATGAAAGATGTTGGCAGGGGGAGTTCGAACTGACCCTCTCTTCCCTTGCTCCTACATCTGATCCCATCGGCCTTCCATCGCTGAGAGACTTCACCATTTCGGCAAGTCTTCTCTTCTCGCTCTCCCGCACAATGCTTTCCGATCGGAGCCTCTCGATCTCCAGCTCATAGGTTTCCATCCTTTCCCTCAGAAAAAGGATTTCTTCGTCCTGTGCTGCATCTCGATCTTCATCCTCGGACCCCTCAGGATCGTGGTTGACCATCGAATCTTTGTCTGATTGTTGATCCTTCAACTGTTTCTCGAGTTCACGAACTTTCCGCTTCAAGTTCTGACTCTCTTTCTGTAACTTCAACTTATCTGATTTCAACTCCACATTCTCAGAGATCATCTCCTTAATACCTTCTTCAGAGCGCCGATTCAGAGCTTCGTTCAGAAAGTGTATTCTCATTTTTAAATCAAAGTTCTCTTTCGAGAGGCGGTCGATGGTGCTACTTTGCTCCTTGAGGGTCATGTTACGACCGCTCTTGGTGAATCCAGGGGCGGCATCCGTGCGCTTGTCTGGGGACAGTGCACGGCTATAATCCTCACTAAATTGCTTCACGAATGTGCTTGGTATTTGAACATCTTTGATTCGTTCGGCTATAGCCGTATCTGCTAGGAGGTTGGTATCGTGGTACTTAGCTTTCGGTGTCATGGGTTCTGTAGTATCATGGGCAGCAGACTGCTCCAGAAGATGATGATGTTCAGATTGATGCGGGTGGTAGTGGTGGTAAGATGATCCTGGGCGTGACTGTGAGGGGCCCTCTTCCTCGTTCAGAGTTTGGAGAACTCCTTCAATAGTTCCACTAGGCGCTTTGCGTTCAAAAACGTTATCATCACTGTACCCAGAGATGCCCGATGCCATGCTTCCCAGGCTCACCGACCGTGCCAAAGTATTTCGCTGTCCAACATGAATACTGCTTGTCATGCCAGGTGCTGCACCGCCCGACTGAAGAGCATAGTCAGCACCTAAAGTCGCATCGCTGTTTGTTACCTCTGTACCGTTGCTCGTGACCGATGAGTATGAGAGTCGATGCGCCGACTGGCGGCTGGTCAGATACTTCGGCCTGCTGCTTCTGCGACTGCTCGCGCGTGAATTTGCTTCTGCATCGCTGCCGCTATTTTCATGGAATAGCCTCGACGGCGGGGGCGATAGGTTGCGCGACACACTGCGAGGGTTCTGGTGTGTTGGCTGCACCGGTTGATCGGGCTCAGGCACGGGGGACTGGCCCGGCCGGCTGTCGCCCTGAACGATGTGGCTAAGCTCTCGAGGACCTTCCGAGCATGTGGACGGGCTCCTATCCACTGCCCTGACAGCCGCCGCCACCGAGGGCGATGAGTGTGTTCCCTCAAGGGTTGTGGTGCTCTCGACGTGCTGTTCAGAGGAATTCGCGGGTGTTGCATCCATATCCTGAGGTGCAGCCACTTCAGGACGTGGACTAGGGGTTTGCGGAATTGGGACGTCGTCGCCAGCTGAGGTTATGTCAAGATTGGACTCATCCGGTATCACGAAGGACAACTGAGTACTGCCCGGATGGGCAGGGCCGAGGGCATTACTGCGATGCACTCCAACCAGGTACGTATCGTCGGCACCGATGGTTCGATCGGGCGTCTCGACTTCTAGGGTCGATGGCTCGGGTAGGAAACTCGATTCCATATCCATTAGTCGCCTTCGCATCTCATTTTCTTTAAGGAAGGTCTGATCATCGGCACGCTCGTGGTCGCCATCCTCGCTCGACAAGAGTAAGCTATTGTCATCATTATCAGGCAAAGGGGGTAAGGAGAGGTTGGAATCGTCGGGTCCTTGCTGTCGCACGAATGAGGCATCAGTCGCAGGCTCGAGTTGGTTGAGATTGGTGAGTGGTGCTGTGTTTGTGTCCTTTCGATCAGGTCCACCGCCTGAGCTGGTTGCACTCATTGTGCCTGAGGCCTGATCACCCTGCGCGTCTTTCGGAACCGGCAATTCGTCATCCCCTTCAGGGTTGGGTTTGGGGGAAGTGGAAGGCTTTGGCGAGTTGCGCACCGGTTGCGCGGGTACGGTCGCTATCGGATTCTCTGACGAAGGAGAAGGTGGTGATCGAGCGGGCTCGGTTGACATGGTGACGGACGTCAGGGCAGGGCGTTTCTTTTCTCCACATCAACCCGACAGTCGTAAAAGACTAGCGGAGCCGGTCTCTTCTAGGAGTAGTCCAAGACTCTAGGCCTCGTCGGACTACCCACTTGGGCGGGCAGTCTTAGCGTGAAATCGGCTAGTGAGGTAGAGGACCGAGGCGTAGGTGGACAAATAATGTTCGGATTCACAATGGCAAGGTTCGAGATGATTTGACTTGGGGGAGGAATCAAAGGTGGGACTCGATCGCATGTGGATTTACTCGTAGGTCTGGGTTTGCGTTGAATGGGCGAGACAAGAAGGAAGGAGAAAAGAAATCATATGGTAAGATACATAGGGAGTGAAGATAGCCCGACCGGAACAGAAAGTACTCTGTAGGAAGAAGTGCAATTTTTTTGGTTGTATTCTGCGGCGTCGGCGTCGTCGTCGTCGGTCACGGGCGGGATGAATGATGATGGATGGATGCGTTGTTGTATTTACTGTTTGGATTGTTTACACCTCAGGCTGCCAAGTCCGGTTACGCTTTATTATTCCCGGATCTCTCCCGGGCCGAGTCCCTATCTACGAAGACACTTACACACACCCTTGGGGAATTGGAAACTCTGTTTTAGTATTTACATGTACAGCCAAGCGTAGATCTCCGACTTTAGACCTAGGCAGCTGCATTGATCCGCATCATGAGAGAAGAAAAATCGATGTTCTCGACAAGTACAAGCCTCATCATGTCCCAATCCAAAAAAAAAAAAAGAAAAAGCATATACGAGAAGCTGAAGGAGACAAAGGCAACCAAGGCAAAAGGAGCGATTAAGAGCGAGGGAAACATGGCTATCATGGGACACGCTCACAGATGGGGTCGTCAGAAGCATCACCCAGAGTGACCCGGATGACATGCATGGCGACTAAAAGGAAATGAGGGTATAATAGAAAATGGGTCTGCGTCAAGCAGGAGCAGAATGACACTATAGCTCAGAGAGTCCAAGAAACAAAACAGGAAGCCGGATCACTCTTCTGTGGGAGTCTCTTCGCGGGCTGCATAAATCCGGTTCTTCTGGTCTAGGGCACCTGAAAGTGAATCAATATATGTGCGAAATTTCACGATTTCACGTAGTAGGTAGGATGATTTCCGCTCCCAGTTGACTAGTGCTTTAGAAGCATTGGGATGACGAGGCGAAAAAGCAAGGATCATGGCGGACCGAAGTTCATTGTGCCGCTGCAGCTCATCTTCCACATTCTTGACGTACGTCTGCAGAGCTTTCAGTTGATCAGTCTCAGGAAGTGCCGATGCCACCATGCTTTGCTGGGGAGGAGCCCAGTCGCTGATATGGACGCGATCTGCTGGTAATCGAGGTCGAACGCCCTGCTGATCGATCGAGCTCCGGATCGAACTTTGGATGCTGGGCCTAGCCCCAGATGAGGACGGTGGCGTCCGACTGCTCTCGGTCGTGATAAGAGCGCTGTTAATGACGGCATCGCTCCATCCGTACTCGATATTACTGATTCCCCCAATCAAAGGCTCTTTGGACAGCCTGGCGCTCCAATAATTGGCACTGGATACGAATTCGCGCACAATCTCCGGCGTCCCAACTTGGAAAAGATGGACAGCACCGGTTGGGAGGCTGAGAGCCCAAACATGGGGCCGAGATTTGGAGTAGCCGGGTGGTGGAAGCGCGCTGGCAATGGTCTGACGCAGGAGGAATTTCCACATCTCTTCAGCGTTTTCGGTCCAGTTGCCGCCTCCTACCACGACACCCCCGGGCTGACGTTGCTTAGGTTTTTGCCGGGCGCCCTTCACAGAGGCGTTGAAGGAGAAAAGACGCATCCATCCTTGCTGAATTACAGCAAAGCACTCGTTCCAGTTGCGATCCTTAGCCCTCTTGTCAACCGAGTCTAAGTGGTGTTTATGCTTCAAGCTGCCTTCCTTGGCCCATGGCGCACCAGCAAGTTGTAACGTTTCATCCTCCAATAGTGGGGTATCCCTTTCGGCGTCTTCAAAACTTGCAATCGAATGGGCCGAGTCCTCACGGATAATAGCTTGACTCAAGGCGTTGGCGAAGCCGATCGACTGTTGATAGTCTCCGCGCGGATAGTCTGACCCAAATGAATCGACTGATGCGGAAGTCAACTTCCCTGAGGAGTACTTACTCCAAGTACTGGAGGCGGAAGGACTCCAGAGCGACGCCTGGTCGTCCAAGCTGGTTCGACTGGAGCCCATGGCAGACGGAGGATGTAATCTCGCCCGCGAACGAGGCTTAGATGACCACCGTGCCGTCCCATAGCGGGAATCGGCAGAGCGACCACGCGGATATATGTCAGAACCACTTCTACTCACAGTACTGGGGCTTCGGCGGAGTCCACTGGTATGGGGGCCAAGCAAGTTGTTGGCTGAAGATCGCGGCCCTTCTTTCTCTGCCGAAGCACCATAGAGAGGGAGCTTCTGCTTCTGAATCGAGGAATAGAAATCCCGAAGGACGGCCTCAACTTGTTGCTCCCATGCTCTCATCGATCCAATGAAAGGCGTATTGACAAGCGGGCCAATCTCGTTGTCAGTATCATTCGCAATCTTCGCAGATAAATCGGTACGAGAAAGTCGGTTGACCAACTTTGTCGGTGCATTCGCTGCCTTATCCATGCCCGCAAACCCCCGGTCGCGATCGTCAGTGGGTGACATCGGGTCTTGCATCGAGGCTCTCGATTTGCCGCTGGCAAACCCATCAGGGGCGGCTTCGGCAGCCACACGATGAATTGTCGGCATCGTATTTCGAACAAACTGGGTCTTGGTCATCTTCTGCTCGATGTCGGCCAGGTGTAGATCAGTGTTCAGCAGGAGGAGCGAGTAACAGATCGTATGCACAACGTCTACAATGACACCATTAGTATAACCATCTTGCTCACTGGCGAAGTGATGCTATTCATACCTGCAGCTTTGAAGCTGTGGCGAGGGTTACACGCACACCACCTCGTGGAAAAGGCATCCAAAACCCTGTCCACTTGCTGGGTTTCACCTTTCAGCACTAGCCGAGTACAAAGGCTTCGCAGAGCTGCCAATATATTGAGATTGGACCAGTCGAAGAGTTCCATGTATGCTTTGCGGATCGGAGCACGATCGGGATCACCAAGCCAGGCAGCGGCAGGCTCGTTCCCAACCACTTGTTCCTGACTTTCGAACAACATCCTCGCTTGCTCCCGGTCGGAGTCGGTTGGTTCGTCGCCAGGGGGGCCATCCGAGGAATCGGGCTGATCTCGGGGGGTTCCCATGAGCTTTGGTTCCGTCGACGATGCGGTGGGAGCTTCGGAAGCCGTATGGTAGTTCGAACCTTCCGACAAAGAAGCCCGCGGAGACCCATTCAGACCACCGGCAGCTGCAGACATATTGCCTCCCATATCATAAGCCTTGCGCACGTCCGATGGGGAAGATTCGTGGGCTTCGTCCGATGTTGGGAAAAGCTGATGAGGCGTATCATCGAGATTATGATCAGGGGCGACACCTGGCTGCGAGAAGCTCTCAACCACGGGTGAGAGCGAGGAGACTGGTATCTCCTGAGGTTTCAGCTTTGTTTGAAGAGCACTAGCACCAGAACCATTATCTACGTCGTTACTATTCGAGTCCACGCCGTTTCCGCGCGCTGGGTGATCCTCTTCTTGTCGCTGATTAGCAGGATGACTGGTATCCAAGCTGCCCAATTTAATGGTTGACTCATCATCCCCACTGCTGCTGGCACCTAAAAATGAAGTCTCCGGAGCGCTGCTCGGCGGAACTGAAGGGTAAAGGCTGTATTTAGCTTTCGGGGCACCCGGTGTTGCTGTGACTAAGCTTCCCCTCTGATCTTGCGTCGGCGAACCTCCCTGGTTTTGGGCCTCGAACGTCTCCGCTGCTGGGCGCAAGTCCAAGGGTCTACTGCCGGGGCCTGTAGCGAAAGGAGGGTTCATTCCTTTCCGTACGCTGCTCACCGGGATAGCCTCTGGTTTGGCCGGTTCCAGTACTCGGTGATGGCCGCTGAGCTCCGGAGGATAGAAAATGGGGGGAGGAGCACTTTCAGCAACAGATTTCTTGCGCCGACGAAAAAAGGAAGATTTCTTGGTAACCACCTGATGCGTTCCTCCTTCGCGGTGCGTGTTGAATCCTGGTGCACTATTCTTTAACGGCTGCCTCCAGCTCCTGGCATTCATCCCAAATCCACTCGAATCCTTGTAGTCGTTTTCTGGGGCAAAAACGTGGTCGGGTGGGTTGTACTCGCTTGAAGTAGCGGTCGACACCCTGGAGGAGCCAAACACACGCCGGAAGAACCCTGGCCGTTCCTTGGCTGCTGGAGCGGGGTCGGGTGGCGCGGGGAAGATCGGCTTGTTGAAGGAAATGGTTGGGCTCGGCGCCGGCGGGTCGAGCGATGCAGGGATCGTCGGCGGAAGTTCCAGTCCGCTCTCCCCGAGGTTGCCCAGATCTGAATGATGGCCTCGAATCGTCGTTGTGCCAAGGTTCGCCGGTCGGGCCTTTCGGTCGTTGTCCGACCGCGGGGACTTTACGCTGTTTCGGCGTGATGCCACGGGTGTCGTCCGTGATTGTTGGGGTTGGAGGGGGCCTGAATATTCAGCCTGAGAAGATGAGTGGGATTTACTTGGCCCACCGGGGATACTCGGAGTCGGTGCTGCATCAAAGCTCTCCCCATATGACGAGTCCAGCTTAAAGACAAGATCCGGAAACGAGATGAATGGCTGTCTTGTGCCGTAGTCCAAGCTTACCGAGCGTCTCTCGCCGGCCCCATCCATTCGTCCCTGCTGCAGAGAAGAAGCTAAATCCGTGGGAGGCGAGGAACTACCTCGGTTTCCATTCCGAGAAGCCCGAACATTCGCCGGGGCTGCAAAGTTCGAACTGGCCCTGTAGTCGTACAGTTGGCCGCGAGAGCCGGTCCCTTCCCGACTGCGAGTGCTGCCGTATCTTCGCAAACTGGCATGGTAGTTCGAGCTGCTATTGCTCCGACGACTTCTGGCCGGCTGTGTTGCATAGCGGCCAGTGCTCTCGTCGTATGTGCATTCTACCTCCGAGGATACGGAGGAAGAGAAAGTGTGGCCTCGATACCGGCGCTGAGTTATTGATTCCGGCGAACCATTGCCACACAGATCCGTCTCAAAAACTGAGTTGAATAACCGGTAGTCGTCCAACAAAGAGCCCGAGGCAAACTGGTCCAGCGACAGAAGCATGTTATCCACAATTGAGGTGCGGGCCGCATGTTTCGGCGATAGAGACAGGTCATGTGGGTCGCGCTCATCCCCCGATTCATTGCTGTCGTTGGCGTTATCGGCCGGATTAAAGTCGTCCAGAAAAGTTTCCCGTACGGAAGGTCGTGGGTGAGTTCCCCTTTTCGCGGCTCTGTGGTTGCCTGGTTCAAACGACGGCGTTTGAGGGGGAGAACTGCTTGCGTGCTGCGGAGGCATTGTGCGACTACTTAATCGAGTGACTCTGTTCCCTAAAGATTTCCGAGAATGGTCGGAGTTCGTGGCATGAATGCGAAGCGAGTGACGGGGCCTGAAGAGAACGTAGAGAGGAAGAAAAACGAGAAGACAGTATAAGAGAAAGAGCAGGATCTGCGCCCAGTCGCGGTAGCAACACACAATCCCGGGTCTAGAGCAATTGGTTGGTAGGAAATGATCGGGCGTCACCGTTCGCCTTGACGGGCTGAGAAGCCCTGGTCCTTCTTCCAATTTCAGGAAGGTGCCCGGAACCCAATTTGCGAATGTTTGCGAATGTAAGATAAGCGATATAGAGATGTTCGCAATTGAAGCACAAAATAGGTCGAAATATATCAGCGATTGATCATCGCGTGAGGGGTGGAGAGAGTGTGAATTGGGGGTATGTAAGGGGGTCGCAGGACTGCGATTTCGGGCGGCGGTGGGCGCGGAAGTGGTTTGGTAGCTAAACCCCGAGCTATATCGAGCCTCCTATCCTTCTCTTGAGAAACGGAAAGAAGGGCCAGTTAGTGTTAGCTTTCATTGAAAAGGGAATGCGAAAAACAATAGGAGGATATTGGGGGGGGAGAAGACTGGATGACAGGCTATGGTTCGGGAAAGAGACGATTAAAGACGAACCAAGGGGTATGGAAAGTCTGTCAAAACTCAAGACAGGCACCACCGCAAACCTTCATGAGGTGATGGGTGTGGTAGTGGTTGGTGGGGAGGGGGAATAGAGTGGAGGAAAGCGAACTGGCCACGAGGATCGATAGCGCTGGAAGGGGGGACAAATCCGAAACTTGCAGGAGGAAGGATGATAGGTACTGAGCATGCAAGTTAATGCATGGGCAAGCCTCTCAAGCAAACACCGGAAATTGGAGTTGACAAGGGAGAAAAAATGATGACAACATGCTCGTTCATTTGCGAATGATAGTTATCATCAATAACAATGACTGCGAAGGATGGAAATTTTGTAAGGAGGAAGAGGAAGAGGAAGAGGAAGAATTAACCTAAAGTGAATGAATGAATGAATGAATGATTGATTGAATAAAAGATTGATTGAATAGACTATGGTTGAGTAATGGTCGGGGCTAGTGTTGGGTCTAAAGACCCTCTAGCGGGCAATGGGCAATGGTTCAGGGGCCCGGGGGGGCCCCACTTTTCCAACTGCTGCAGCTTCCAGGCACCAATTCATATGAGGTACTCCGTAGTTCTGGTCAGTTTTATGGTAAGTACCGGGGAGTCAAGGTCATGAGTATAAAGAACTATAAAAACCTAGTTAACTACTTGAATAGCTATACCATAGCTATCAGTCAGCTCCAGTAAGTCACTATTTCTATTGATTCGTTCTTAGACCCTTACATCGTCTCCCGAGTCTTTCTTGTAGTATGAATGAAATGATGATACAGGCTGGAAACAGGCTAGATACGAGACCTGAGGAGGAAAGTGGGCCCTGATACCTGACCTTACCTACTAAATGGGCCTTCCTGGTACATACAATCTGACTGGTGGGTGACAAAACAGACAGTACGCACGGGTTAGCTCAGTACGGTGGTCAGCACAGTACAAAATGTTCTAGGTATACTATCAGATATTTCGGCAAGGTAGCCCTGAAATAAGTCACTAGATAACTAGAAAGTACTGTCTGTATTTGAGAATATTCTTCATCGGATCCATCCTAATTCGTTGTCCCAGAACCATAGATGCAGTCGAAAGTACTGTCATCGAGATCCTCCCTGGGCTGAGATCTTCATTTCCAGGAACTCGGTATGTGATACATCTCCGCTCGACTGACACCTTACCGTTTCTCGTTCTCTTTTCCCAGCCATGACTCTATCGAGAGAAAAAGTGTAGATCCAATCACTTGGGGATGGTTCGACCCGTACCCGTTGAGCTGTCTGTGAGAGGAGACCTGTCAGGTCTTCCTCCCACCCAGAATTTCCCCCTTCAAGGGCCAAGCCTGTCCAGATAGGACGTCGCTGTTGAATGCATACGGCTGGCTGCTTATGGATGCAGATGCAGTAAGGCTTTCACGTGGTAAAGTGGCCATTTCATCGTTCTCTTCTTCGAGTAGACAAGGACTGTCGAGAGAACTGGAATGGACCGGATTTTCTAGCCTGATAGTCTATACCTATGAAGTAGATAGATAGATAGATAGATAGATAGTACAACAATGCAGTAGCAGAGAGAAGGGAAGGAACGGGTTCAAGTTCCTCCGGGGCAAGACCGCTGATGACATAACATCGCCGCCCGCCCCATGCGTTGTTTCGAAGGGGTCTCCGCCTTCTTCTCTTCTTCGATCTCCTCATCATCGTTTTGTTGTTGTCTGTGTTTACAGTCACCGTGGCTGACTTGATTACTTCCCCGTGCTTGTCCCTCGCTAAATTTACATGATTTTGGCTCCTCTCTAAGGCCGCTTGTCTTGCGACTCGGAGCTTCTTCACCCGCTCCTGAAAGATGAATCCTCACATATCCGTTCCCCGCCAACATGCTAGTCCATCGAACTTTGGCGGTACTGCGCCCGCCAGTCGCAGATCGAGTATACGGTTGCCTCGCTTCTTCAAACGGTAGGCCTAGCAATTCGCTCTGAAGTCGTTCGGTACAAGGCCCCGTGCCAAAATCGAGCTTTTCCGACGATCACTGTTAAGTCTCGGGCTGTGACTGACGACGACCCTCTGTTATGTTCCAGGCTATTCAAATTCCCGCAGATGGATTTCGAGATGGCAATATGGGAGATGGCATCTCTGTTGATTGCGCCCAAGAAAGTTTTCAAGTCGATATATTATCATGTGCGTTATTCCTGATCCCGGACTGAGGAAACTGTTGGCCCTTTACTGACTGCCTGCCCGACTCAAAGAAACGTAGGTTGCCTGAACCATGCGCAATTCACATTTGAGCTGGGGCAGCCGTGGTGAGGAACTGATCAACATCCAGAAACGAAAAATACTTGGCATCGCCCCGACCCATCTTTCACTTATCTGCTTTCCTTCTTCCTCCTTCTCACGGCGCTCGCCTGGGGTCTCGCCTATGCGCCATCATTCGGATCCATTGTGCGGCTGTCTCTTATCTTCATCTTCATCCATTTCATTGGATCCTCGCTTCTGGTCTCCTCGATAGGATATTTCATCATTCCCCGGCTATTTGGACCTGATGGCGCTGCGGCTTCGCTGACAGGGTTTCGAGGTAGTCGCGGACGGCGGCGCGGCGCAGCCCAGGGCCTGTTCACACAGCCCGGCGAGAAGGAACAATTGGAGTTTGGCTATTGCTTTGATGTGAGTCTATCCAACTGCTCCCAGGGAGCAGAACCCCTCCGCCCCCGAGTAGGAAACTGAGTTTCGCAAATATTAGGTAGCAAACCGGGCATTCTTCCCTCTGTATCTGCATCTATATGTAGTGCAGTTTCTTCTTCTACCACTGCTCACCCGCAGTCCAAGCAATTTCTTAGCTATTTTCCTCGGCAACACGCTTTACCTGTCCGCATTGACATATTATACCTACATCACGTTCTTGGGATACAATGCACTCCCATTCTTGCATAACACCGAGCTGCTTTTGCTCCCTATTTTGGCATTCGCGATCATGTGGCTTATTTGCCTGATTGCAGGATGGAGTCTGGTCATGCAAGGCTGGAGTGTGGAGGGCTTGGTCTGGGGTGCATAGTTATTGCCTGGTGCTCGAGCGGCTCGGGCTGAATTGTGTCTGTTCTGCTCCAGCCCATGCCTCTTTTCTTCATCATGTCTACAATTTCAGCAAGCCTTTATGATTTTCTGCTCAGCGGTGGCGTATATGTGATCTTGTGTTGGTGCTGCAACTACTAAGGTCAGTCATTGTCCGTTGGCCTAACTTAGTGTCTTTCCCATTTGTTTAATCTAAAGAGGACAAACCGGGTTCTGGTGGATCAAGAGCCCTGTTTAATATTATAGTCCGTCCTCCATGAACTGTGACCACTAGCTGGAGGAGTATGTCCATCCTGATACTATGCAGTACGACTCGTCGTTGTATAACGGGTCTACTTACCTAGATTATGGATGTAGTTAGGGGGTATTAGCAAGAACTTGAAAGAAGATTTAAGGCATATGAAAGCCAATCATCATTCCAAAACCTGTATAGAATTATATTTGATACGCGCCAAGGCGACCGAAGCGAGTAAAGAGGATCCAAGCGAAGTCCGGAATGTCGGCTCGGTGATATTCATTTCTTCTTTGGTGCAGCCTTCTTCCCACCCTTCGCAGCCTGCAATTTGGCCTCTCGTTCAGCGGCGCGTTGCTTCGCCAACTCGATCTTCTCCTCCTTCTCGGCTTCCTTGCGCAGCCGATCAGCCTCACGCTGCTCGCGGATAACCGCCAAGCGAGCCAGGTCGGAACGGGCTTCCTCTGTCTTCCCCTCGGCGTGAAGCTTCAGATAGCGTTGTCGTGCCTGTTGGGCCTCGATCGCCTCGCGTTCTCGTCGTGACAGCTGGGACAGATCACCGTTGGGCTTCTGCACATCTTCCTGGTTGCCGCTGAGCTGGGAGCGTGATTTGGCCGTGTGGTTGGGGTTGGCCGGTAGGTCATCATCGTCATCGTCACTATCGTTGCCTGATCCCTCCGACTCGGAGGGGGGCAGGTCGCCCGGTTGAGCGGCGCTTTGCATCCGGCGAGCCTGGGCAGCTTGTTTCTTCGCCTTCGCGGCCGCACGCCGCTCCTCACGAGTCATTTCCATGGTATTGCTGCTGCTCGCCGCGGGTATAGAAGAAGGACCAGGTCTGGCACTGTGGGACGATTCATTGTCATTGTTGTCGGAAGATCCATCAGAGCCTGATTCTGAGGATTCTTCTTCCTCGGGGGAAGAGAGGTTGTTGTCCTCGGGATCCTGCGGTGTGGTTCCCCGAATTAGTGGGACAGAGGATATGAGAGATGGGAGGATTGCTGAAAAGACAAAAGGCATACGTACCCTCCAGAGACCGACAGAATTTCCATCTTTGTCGACCGGGTGAACATCGCGACTGAAATGCTTTCCACCTGTTGGGAGTGCGGGCAGAAAGATTGCACCTGATTAGTCCCAGCCAATATCCTTCTCTTGCGGGGAGTCCGGTAAGGGGAGCCTGTTTCGTTGACTTCAGGCTTGGTGTTGGCTTTTACACGTACCTCCTCGCGAAGGCTTGGAAAACTTTCCGCGACCGCGGGGTGCCATGATGAGGGAGGGCGGGAGAAGGAAGGAGAAAGAGAGGAGAAGAAAGGGGAGTTTCTGTGCTCCGAGGGAAGGGGGGAACAGGGGGAGAGAGTGCGAGTGTGCGTGAGTGGAAGGACAAGGAGAGGGAAAGCAATTCGATTAAATGTAGGTAATGAACGAAGGTTAGGTACAAGACTGGCAGCAGCAACAATAAGCTCTTCCTCTGGAGGAAAGTCTGTCAGTCTATGGTCCACCACAGTCACGCCGCTGCCTTCCCGGAAAAGAAGTGGTGGGGTAAGTCAACAGTTAAGGTACTTCTTAGTAGTATAACTTACCCAGGAGTACGGAGTACTACTTGCTACTCTTACTACTATTACTACTACCTCCTAGTAGACATAGTATTCTTATCTACGAGTACTTCCCCAGAGAAAGATAGAGATCGGCCTCTGGACTTGTTAGTAATTTCGCGCGCCATTGATTGCTTGATCGCTAGTTTGTTATTTAACCTAGATTAATTTAGTTGAGTTAGTTACGAGTTACTACGAATACTTATCAAGTACGGACTATGTGTGACTAACTAACTAACTAACTACTTTCCTACCTCTACTGCCTTACATACAAGGAACAACCTTGTATGCGGGATAATTATGAGATTGAGAATTAGTTCTATGACTGTCTAATTCAATGATTAGTCAACTATTCAACCAATTGATAAATGATTTTTTCTCCTGCTATCAACCAATTCCAGTCTCACGCACGTTGCCAGGACAGACCTAGTTTACTTGTGCGCGCTGCAACTAAAGTCAGCGTGCCCGCCAGAATGGCACTGCCCATGAACATCTGCGCAGACAGATACTGCCCGCCATCTCGGTCCACCAGTGCTCCCGCGATGGGGGTGCCAATGAGGGCGGCAACTGCCACCACACTCAGCACCATCCCCATTCGCACTCCTGTTTTCTTCAAGTCGGTGGTCAACGTACTCAGAGTGGCGGGAAACAGGGATTGAATGCCGGCCGCTGCAAGTCCATAGAATGCGCTGAAGACGTACAGGCCATCGTAACTCCTTACGGCCGTCCAGCAGTACGCCACCACCCCGGTTACCAGACTGAAAGGAATCAACATGTTCAGCGGACCTGTATACTGGTCCGCCAGCAGATTGGGGATCAGGCGACCCGTTAAGCCTACCCCGTTCATGACCAAAAGTACATCGATCGATGTGGACTCGGAAACGCCGATGATATCTCGCGCAAAGCTGCTAATATAGAAGAATCCCACATAGAGGCCCCAGAAATTCAGAAACATTCCCAGAGCAAAGAGGGCATATGAAGTCTCCCGAAAAGCGGCCCATTCGATCAGTGGTCCACTGTGGCGAGGCGGCAGCCTCTGCTGGAGGAAAATCAAGCAGGGTATCAAAGTGGCTAGCGAGATGAAGCCTAGCGTTCGCATCGTCCATCCGTATCCGATCTGAGGCAAAAGCCGCATGACCACTGCGGGGAAGACCAGCCCTCCTGTGGCCGATCCAGAGGCTGTGATACCGATTGCGATGGCTCGATTCTTGGTGAAGTACGTTGGAATTAGAGCAATAGTGGGGCAAAACATGAGCCCGCAGCCAATTCCCTGACCAATGCCCTGGGCAAGGAACAGCTGCCAATACTGGGTGCACAGGGAAGTCATGAAGATGCAGAACAGCTCGAGTACCGCCCCGATTGCCAGGATGGTCTTGAAATACCCGGCGTCGGTGGCACGTCCAGAAAAGGTTCCAATGAAGAACAGGAGAAAGATCTGAATGCTGCCAACCCAAGAAATATCCGAGGGCGGCCGCCCCAAGCTCTGGGTATAGTAGTCTTGAAAAACGCCGAAACTGTTGATATAGCCCCAGGTGTTAAAGATAACAAAATGGGCTAGGGCCACTTGGGACCATGCCTTGAAGCCACCGTCCGGAGGAGGACCCAAGTCCCTACCTGATTCTCTCGTCCGAACAGGGTTCAAACTTCTAGTAGCCAAGGCACCGACATAGCTAACATTTGTTGGAGCTCTGAACAGCCCCGTGGGTCGTTCATCGTCAATGGCCTCCTCGTCGTTTTCGAGCTGACCTCTCTGGAGAGCAGATGAATTCGGGTATTGACAATCTGGGGCTTCCTCCGGGGAACCCTTCTCGCTGTTTGTGTGCGCTAGACAACTTGACTCAGCGTTGCAAGATAGTGGTGAAATTGTTTTCATAGCTGTCCTGTGCCACTGGAATAACCTGTTTCAGTCTCGGACAGCTACGAGTGGTGCATCAGAATTGAATGGAAGGGATGCTGACCATGATCGAGACGCTAACGGAGAGAGCACAAGTTAGAATCCATAAAGGTAGATAAAGTGAGAATGATGCCAGGGAGAAAACAGACAGAAGAAGGAAAGGGGAAGAAAAAACAGAGCACAGTTGTTGGAGGTGGGGGAAACAGTTCAGTGCGGAGTATAGGCCGAACTCCCCCAGACTGTGGAGAAAACACTCTAAGATCTGCTTCGCACAGAAGTCCGACTCGAAACACCAGCAGTAATTCCTCGGCTATCTAGGGTAGACTAGTAAGGGTTTGTCAGTACGTAGTCTGTATTCTGTATACTGTAAGGCACTCAATGTTCATTGGGGCACAAGAGCCGACAAAACTCCTCTCTATGTATCTTTCAAGTGCACTATGCTCTTTTGGACATCACGAACTTGCAAGGTAGCGTATCAACTTCACTTTGACCATCTATCAAGCAGTCCAGAGGGAAGATAGTAACAATGGCTATCGAGCTCAGGAGCGAACAAGGGACGATCGTCCTTCCTCTCTCTTCCTCTCTCTCCCTCTCTTTCTCCGATGTTCATTCCGATGCCCGACGAGCGCATCTTCCCTCGTTCGTCTTGAACTCTAACAAATCAGCCATCATCGCTACCCCGCCTCTACGCCCGGGACGAAACATAAGATATATAATAGGCATGAACGCGAAGCTAAAGTCTAGGAAAACGGAAAGAGAATAGGGGGCGTCCCGGCCGTGCGAGGAGCGTCGAGCAACTTAATACTCTTGGGAGCAAGAGCTGTTGTTCAGCATCGAAATCGTTTCAATCACATCCGCTGGCTCGAGGAGATGCCAGCTGGCGGCTGTTTGCTTCGAGCTTGCCCCAACAGTGACCGAATAAACATGGTCTTGGGGCAAGTCGAATCCCTGCAGAGCACGGAACATGTCTGGAAACAGAATGTACAGTCAGTCCTCGAGCATAAATTGACAAGCATGGCAAAGGGGAAAGAGTCGTACCCTCATCTGTAAAGTCATCGCCTGAACAGAAGATGAACTCAGGTGCATCTCCCGGCTCATTTCCATACTCGTTGACCAAGCGGGTGGCAATGAAACCCTTGTTCACGAAAGTCGGCCGCACCTCCAAATTTGCCTTACCCGACATGACTTCAACTTCCCAACGCTTGGCCACTGTCTCTTCGAGTGCTTTTCGGCACTCTCGGGCTTGAAATGCGCCGTATTCGGGATCGGCGCGCCGGTAATGCCATGTGAGAGCGACCCGCTTTCTTTCGATGAAAGAGCCCTGAGTCCGTTCAGTAAAGTGCTGGAATGTTTCCATCACCTCCTTCTGCCAGCCCATATTGCTTCGCTCGGCCAGGTTTTCCCAGTCATCGGAGTGAGGCTTCCTAATGAAACATCCATGCTCGGCACTTAGTCCCAACTCAGGAATATGGCCCATCCATTCATCCAGGAAAGCTTGATCGCGGCCACTGATAATCCATACGGCATTCCTTGGGTCTGCAGCCAGGGTCTTGAGAGTGCGAAGAACACGGTCTGATGGAATGGCTGCCTGAGGATCCTTCACGATTGGAGTGAGGGTTCCATCATAATCAAACATGAACAACCTCTTACGAGCTCTGCGGTACTGCTTCAAGAGTTTGACTCTATCCAGAGCTGGTGTTGCGACCGACTGATCGAAGGAAGACAGATTGGTGAGCAAACGAGTGAGGAACTGCTTAGACCAGGCTGAAACTGTGTTGGCAGTGACATGCTTGTAGAGTTTCTGCTGTTGTGTCAATTTCTCTTCGGGAGACATGCATAGAGCTTTATTGATGGCACCCGCAACCCCCACCGTGTCCCACGGATTAATGTGAATAGCATTGGAGAGTGTTCCCGCTGTACCCGAAAACTCAGAAAGAATCAACGGACCATTGTTGTTCTGTTGACAGATGATATACTCTAAACTCGTCGTGTTCATCCCATCTCGAACCGTCGTAATCAGGCCCACGTCAGCCACCCGCAGCAGTGCAAAATACTCGTGCGGGGAGAGGTATTGCGGGTAGTATTTGACGGGTGAAAAGCTCAGAGATCCAAATCGTCCATTGATGGTGGAGACAAGATTGGAAATCTGGCTAGCGATCTTGTTCTCCTCCTTTTGCTCGTCGACGCTAGTGGGACTTGTCACTTGGATCAAGACCACCTTATCACGCCATTCCGGGTACTTCTCAAGGAATACTTCGAAGGACTGCAGCTTCTGCGCGACGCCACGGACACTGTCCAGCCGATCACGACCAACAATAATCTTCTTACCGGCGTACAGCTTGCGAATCCCCAAGACCGCCTGTTCGATCTCAGCAGATTCAAAAGCTGCTCGTTGGATAGCACTTGTATCGATGCCGATAGGAAACACATCAACAGCTACATGAGCGCCATATGCATCGACTCCGGCTGAGTTGGAGTCGAAGCCCAAAACACGGGTGCAGCAGGATGAGAAGTGGCGGGAATAGGAGAAGGTTTGGAACCCGATCATGTTCGCACCAAGGACCCCAGTGAGCACCTCCTTCCGCTTGGCGAGACAGCGCATGAACTCGCTGCTAGGAAACGGTGCGTGCAAGAAGAACCCGATGTAGACGTTGGGGATACGTTGCCGTAACATGCTCGGTAAAAGGAAGAGATGGTAGTCGTGAATCCAAACAATGTCACCCTCCTTGTATTCCTCCACGATACGATCCGCGAAGAGTCGGTTCATTCGGACATAGTCGGCCCACCACGTGCGCTCGGATCTTCCATCCGTGGGACCATGCTGTTTGTAATGAAGCAGGGGATATAACTCCCTTTCAGCGTAACGTCTCCAACGTCCCTGGTCTTCCAAGAGGATGGTATCCTCAGGGGCATCCGACTCAGCCGATAGCCAGACTGGGGCAATTTTGCCGTAGCGACTGGAACTCATTTGCCTTTCAAGTCGATCTCGATCAGATTGGCCTACTTGAAGTCCTTCCAGGAGAGGATGACTTGGCGGTCTTTGGTTAACATCGACCGGCACTGGAGCCGCTGCTTTGTTCAGAGGAATGGCGGATCCATTCACGGTGGTGGGTAACTTGGCGCTAGTGTTGATGGGGACCTGCAGAGGCAAAGCCGTCTCTTGTGCTGGCTCTACCTCACCCGTCCAACCCACGAGGGTGTGAGACCATTTTGATTCTGGAGAGCCGAGATAGGCCAAGGAGTCGAAGAGGGCAGATGTTCCGGGGCGGGGTTTCAGTTCCTAGAACCAAGTCAGCCTGGTTCCTGAGGGGGCTAACAGCTCTCATCGGAGGAAGACACGCAGGTAGTTGGAGGACAGTCATACCCAATCCGAACCGGATCGCAAGTAGAGTTTGTACGGAACGCAGAAGGCAGCGCTGATGATTCGGCCGGTAAGGCGCAAGCCCGGGTATTGCTCGCGTGGATCCATGTCTGACAACGTGGGTGTGCCTACTAGGCTTAACCGACGCAGTAGTTCACGTCCTGATTTCGCATCTTTAGCCGCCTGGGCAGGCGTGGAAGGGGAGGCGACGCTGGAGGGAGTGGCGGCTGTTGGATTGGCCGCGATATCGGAGAAGTAAGAAGGGCCATCAGAGACGACCGGCTGTTTGGGTTCATCTGCCAGGTCTGGCGTGGCATTGGAAGCTTGTAGGAAAGCATCCTCGCCCAGAACACTTAGACCAGACCCGATGGGACCCGGATTGGGCTGGCCATCGGGCAGGTTGGTGCAAGCCCGTTGTTCGGGGGCCATGACGGAAGCGGACAAGGATGGGAGACAATGCTGGAAGAATCTCCCAAATCAGTACTCGCCCAATGCGATTTCGGGGAATGAAACTACCGGTTTCTCCCCAATGCGTTGAAAACAGACCGGAAAAAAAAAAAGAATGAAGAGACTAAAAAAGAGACCAAACAAAGAGACCAAACAAGCGGACAGCGAACCGTTAAGTTCTGTGAGGAAGAGGGGTCGAGTTACCTGGGAGAAGGGAATTGAGGGGGGTAAAAGAAAGAGTGGCGGCGATTGAGTGAGAGATAAGCTAGAAGTAGTAATGATGGGTGGGGAGAGGGGACCGACGGTAAAGCTGCGAATTAGGCCATGAAGCAGGATGGGAAGACGAGAGCAACAGGTAATATGAGCGACCGACAACAATCTAATCAAATTCTCAAGAAAGAGAAAGACTGACGTGGAAGTAAAAGAACAGGAGGAAGAACTTATGAAGGGAAGCAGAGTTCACTTTTAGAAGGACCGGCAAAGAGGGTTCGGAGCCTGAGGCGGTGAAGCGCGCGGGGGTTACGTATCGGGATCTTTCCCCTACCCCACTGCTTGCCCGATGAATAATGATGATGATGATGATAAAGTGATAATAGACTGACTCTATGGCCAAACAAGGTGATGAAAGTCTTATTCTTATACCCATCATTCAACACATTTCCCGCGGTTTATGGCTACAAGCAAATTACTAAACTATCCAGAATCCAATCCGAGAAAGAGGCAACTAAAGTAGGAACATAAAAATAGATCTATCAGTTCCCTCCAGTTCGAGTGCAAGCGTGGAAGTGTGCAAGCAAAGCCAGCAAGCAATCAGCTGGCCCGGTGACCATCGGAAGGAGGTTTGCTGCCGCCGGGTTCTAACCTCCAATCCTTCCTGCACGAGTGAGGTAGAAAGACGGAGAAGGGGAAAGAGACGGAGGGAAGGATAGGAGGCATGGAATGAATGGGTCGAAAAGGTTCCAGGCTCCGCGGGGCTGGCAACTGGAAAAGGAAAGGAATCATATAACGGGTGGGGAATAAAGGGGAGAAGAACAGGACGGAGAAGAGAAGAGAGAGCACGAGTAAGACTCTTGAGAGAGAGAGAGAGAGAGAGAGAGAGAGAAAAGCAAAAAGTTCAGAGATGGGGGAGAAACCGGTTCAAGGAATGAGGGACTGGTGATGCATTCGAGACATGCGAGACATCGTGGGCGGGAAATTGGCCCGACGCACAGAAGGTTCCCCCTGCCAGGATGGTTGGTCGGGAGAGAAACACATGAGGAGACTCGAGACAGAGAGCGACACCCCACTTTCTAGACTGCCCAGTGCCCACTGCTACAAGTTATAAGTAGAACTTAGCAATCTTCCACCCCCTACGTCATGATCCGAAGCTGCAGGTAGACGTGAGGGTAAATTGGTAGGTCTGGTTGGGGCGAAGTCTCGAAGAGATCGATGCCAGACAGCGCAGGTGCCAGATCCCAACCCACGGACAGCGACACTAGAAGTCTGACCCAACAAGTGTCACTTGTCGGGAGAATTAGGTACCATGGCCGTTGTTGTCTCATGTTCCTTGTCCCTGAATGAGTCTATTGTTGATGCACATCGAGAATGGTCGGGCATGCAGTGCAAGGTCTCGTGTCCGGTGTAGGAACCCGACGATCGATCCCAGTCGTCTTCCATGGATTGCATGGCTGCGATTTTTCTGACCTACCCTGGTAGGCCAACCAGGTTTGCGTACTCCGTACTGAGAATCAGTCGGTGCTTTCGACTCCACTGGTAAGGATACAAAGTACTGATGATGATGATGATGATGATGATGATGGTGAGAGAACATCATTTCATGTGGTTCGGTGACGGACAAAGGTCCCTTACCTGATCTGGCACGGGTGTGGTGACATGTGAACCTGAAGGCCTTAAGTGTTCTAGGGCGAGCGCTGAGGGTTTTCCTTAGTCAGCTATACACTTTAAGTTAGTTAACTACACTTTGTTCCGTCAATTATACGCTCTGTCAGGTGACTATCAGGTGAATCCCGTAGTGAAAGACCGGCGGCTAAACCACTACACAGTAATCAATCGTGTTTGCGATTGCTTTCAAACCCACCCCATTGTATCCACAAGCCCTTTCCGCCATTGACAGGGCTTGCTGGTGCTTGACCATGGCAATAAATATACAATCAAAATGTCTTCTCTCACGCAACTTTGTGCGTGGGTACACCTCCCCTTTGACGATCCCCTGTCGACATTTGCATCGGACTGCTTGCAACAACAGCATCTTCGCGAACGAGAAACCCGACGACGGTAGCATTGTAAATCAGTCATGGGAGATTAGACATGATACACGAAGACCAAGAAAGAGAAACCAAAAGGCCAAAAAATATACAGACAGTCAGATTTCCACGAGCGCGACAGCAGCGAGCAGCAACAACGGTACGATCATCACGGAAAGCCTGGAAAAAACCCTCGTTGCGCACCGCCGATCCAATCGTGCCAGTATCATTCGCATTGTTGAGGTTGACATGCGGCGATCTCCTCAGGCCCCCGCCCCAAGTCGACCTTCTAAGGTTAAGACCGCCCAAAAACCACATAAAGTTAGAACCGCCTCAAGTCGACCTCTTAAGGTCCCGAGTGAAGTCGAGATCGGATCCCAGCACATCATTCAGTCGGAGCAACCTCCCGTCCACGCGGAATTGTTAACACAATCGCCACCCCGTGCTGAAGCCATCACGGCAGCTTTCTCTGCTCATATCAGAAATCCTCTGCAGGATTTGTACACAGCCCGTCCATCAGAGTTTCCGTGGTTAAAGCATTTGATGGCAGAGCGGACCTTCAATGACGGTCTCTCACAGCTTGATGCCGAGGTTCGTGCCTTAGGAGACTATTTGGCACCCACTGCCGTTGAAGAAGAACAATGCCAGCAGATTATCGCAGAAGTTTCCCGCGTGCTTGAAGGGGTTGTGCCCCATCCGCCCCAACTTATAGGGCTACGGTCCGTTGGACTCGGCACCACTTCATCCGCTATAGCTCTTTTTTTGCGTCTTCCTGACCACGCACCTCGACGAGGTTCACGGAGCTCTACCCGCGTCAGTGGACACCAGCGTTTGTTGCTCAGGGTTGAGCGGGCACTTCGAGCTCATCCGTCCCTTTGTGAGATACTGAGCAGGACCTCGGAGGAAACCGCTGCCGGCCAACGGAACTTGCTCATGACACGCCACTGTGCAACACGTCTTCGGGTGAGCTTTTGTGCGAGAGAGAGAATGCCCTCTATGCTCGAGTATATTAAGGATTATCAGGCTGAGTACCCGTCCCTCCGATATCTGTTTCCTACAATTCGCGTTATCTTGCAAACCCAGGTCATGTACGGTTCTGAGGCTGGAGGCATCACTTCTGAAGCGCTCCTCGTGCTCGTTGTAGCCTTCTTGAAGATGAGCCATGGCCGTTTTTCCAGGCCCGATGATCTGGGTTTGAAACTTCTTGCATTTTTGCGAATGTTTGGAATGGAAGTCGACCTTAAAAAGACCGGGGTCGCTGCCGACCCTCCTAGTCTGTTTGACTCGGCTACTCTGAAAAAAGCCTGTCAAGAATATGCCAATACCGCCGAGATGCCCGCTCACCTCCGTGGCCAGCTAGCTCTTGTACATTCAAGAAACACTGCTCGGAAAAGGGGCAATTTTGCTTTTGCACAACGACTATGTGTCCAAGATCCTACGAACTATATGTTCGACCTGGGTCAGTCTTGTCTACACACGCGGTACGTTCAGTTAACGTTGAGGAACGCATACGAGCAGCTCCGTATGGGCCTTGACGAATGGCCGCTGCCGGTACATATTTCTCCGGAGACGAGTCTTCTGGGCTCGGTCCTTCGTATGGATAGACCATTTTTCAAGACTGAGAACATGCGCAAAGCCCTCACAGCTAGGCAAGAACTAGGCAGAAACTTCGGGAGCCCCAAGATGTAGCCTATGATGTTGCTCATATGCCTTCTACGGCTTGTTTGCATTGCAGTGGTATCTACTGAGTCTTGATTGACAAGAATCCTGCTAACCTTCCTTGTTGCCCGTGTATATATCAGCAACTCTGAGTACATCCTCATGCTCGCCAACTAGTACAGAACACCATATTATACTGTGGGCACAGAGAAGACTCTGCTATAATAAAAAGCACGCCTGCTATGCATAAAATGGATGCTACGAGATGAAATGATCCATTTGGAATGAAAGGGGGCATAGATGGTTTCTGAGGGGGAGAACATATCCAGGAAATGCCGCATGATGGCGGATGGGCGGGATCGTCGAAGGCCAAGGCAAGCCTGTGGGAACACACATGGGAGCAGTAGGAGGCGCTTAGGAACATGCTAGTTGCTGTTTGGAGGTTAGAGGCTGGCTGTCCAGTGCCTTGATTTAGGAACAAAAGAGGACTCACTAGATTTCCAGTGGAGAAATTTGGTCTAATGTGTAAAGCCAATTACCACCTTGTTCCTCTTTCTCCAGCCTACAGAGTCGAAAGTCAGCAAAGGCGAGAGATAACCGCTTTTCGGAACCGTGGAGTACCAACCAGTCATAAGGCCAGAGAATGAGATGCCCCTGGACCTGGTTCAACAAGTCCTCCGCTCGCTGTTTGTCCATCACCTCATCCGCATGGAAGTCACGCTTCGATCCAAGCGTTGTTGCTCTTCGTCTCCGCCGTCGAGATTGGCCGGTGGCATTCCTATTTAATGCCTCAGAATAACCTATGACAAGGGGCTCTGACCGCTGTTTCTCGATATCGTCCCCGGACGAGCCGCTATCCTCGACCCGTCCATTCTGCATCCGTCGGGATGCTAAGCCATCTGCTGCTTTCATAGCAGACTTCTCATCGATGGGCAACAGTCCTTCTTGATGCGTCACATCAGGCTGTTGCTCGTTCGTAGACTGCACTGGCCCACTATCACGATGGTCTGCTTTTTCGATGTTGGTTTGCTCTTTCTGGTCGGCCTTCTGCGCCTCTGTACCCTGGCCATGTGTCGCTAGACTATGCTTGATCCCGGCAGCTGCTCCAGCGAACCCAGCTGCCGTGCCGGGAGGCCCAGTTTGTCGCTGATTCGAAGGCTGGAAAGCTTTTGCTCCTTGTTGACTCTGCATGTCAGCGAAACGATCTCCATACGCAGCATATTCCTTGTATTCCTTCCAGGATTTCACTTCGCTATCCGGCATGCAGCGAAAAACACTACGAAAGACTTTCGTATTCTTTTCGGCAACGGCAGACCAGGTGTCCAGGTAAAACAGATCAAGTATAGGGTCCCTCATGCAGTCTTTGTCTATGAAAATATGCTTCACTTCCGGAGCGGACAAATAAGACTTGGCATTATCACCGATGTCCCGTAAAGCTGCGAGGCCGCCGCTGTTGCTGCTTTCTGTCTCATGTTCTGAGGCCAGTGCTGGGTGCCGTATATTTGACATTCCTTCAACAACCTGTGGGCATTCATTTCCGTGCGCGGCTAGACCAGACTGTGCCTGACCGGCATCACTGTTGCTATGAGGGTCTGCATGCCGCAGAGTACGTTGTGAAGGACGTTTAGGTTGCTGCAACGTGCCTTTGCCCTCCGATGCAAGGGGCGAAATCAGAACCTCGGCTTTGTCCCGCAAGATTTCAGAGTCGCGACCATTCACCAGGCCCGTTTCTAAGGCTGCTCTCAGATGATCTGGCCCTAGACCATCCACATCTTTCTTGTGTTCTGGGTTGGCGGTTACTCTCGGATCCGCAGTGAGCTTTCTGTTCGATTTGAGATTAGGGTTGTTACCCTGCTCCCAATCTACGTCATGGTTGAAACTGTGCATGTCCTCCGACCGAGAGAGAAACTCGTCTTGAATACGGTGACGGCGCTCAATCATGTCTCTCTCGTCTTTCTTCTCCAGCATCAAAGACTCGGAGTCAGGCGCCTCATTGCTCTCGGGTGGTTTGGAGCCCTCTTCCGCAATCTGAATCCTTCGTAGCTCTTCCTCAGTCGCCATAGAGTGTTCCATTAGCTCATCCACATCAATACCAAGGTGCTCTCTCATGAGGCGCATGCGAAGGGTATGAGGAAAACGCCCCACGAGGTAGGGACGGCCGTTCATGCTAGACCATATCATGTCCGTGTCGCGGACGACTGCCGCAACTTCTGAGTCGCGAGATCCGAGCATCGACCGTTCGTTGATGTTGGCGGATCCAATGATAGCCGCTCGGTCATCGACGACCATGCATTTGGCATGGATGTATAGCTGTTCAGTGACGAGCTGCTTCTGCGGACCGATTTTACCCCATGACCGGAGGCTGAAGAATTGAATGTAGTCCTCGGGTTCTATTCCCAAGGCCCGTAATCGCCCGAATATAGACGTCTCTCCACGACAGATACTGCGATATTGACACATCATGATCAGACGGACGCTAGTCCCACCCTCACTGTCTACCGTGTTCTGAAACCCTGGCATCAAGGGAATGACAATCACAGCACGCCAAGCTTCCTTGTTCTTTGCAGCCCGGGTGATGCGCTCTACCAGTGCATCACCGATCAGATTTTCAATTTTCCGGCCGTCGATCTCACATGTGCTGATGAAAAATTGATTCTCGATGTAAACGAAATGGTCTGATTCTTCAATCAATTTGACATAAGCGTTCATAATGCTGTGCTCCGTTATGTCCGGTGTACCGGTCGACCACATGCTACTAGAACGCAAGATTTGGACTTCGCAAGTTCCATCAAGACCAAGAGCTTCCAGGTCTGCTGCGTCGAAGTCGGGGGGTGGAAGCAAGAATGGCGTCGGACGAGTTGGCTTTCGCTGACGCAAGATGTAATTCCATCTTTGGACAAAATGACGCGTGAGATCCCGAGCTGGTTGGCCCACTACATGCATCGAGATATCATGCCAAGGCATCCTGGGGATAACATTCCGATCATACATTTCCTCGTAGGGCTTGTCTAGATCGTAGAAATCTTGTATGCGAGGGTTCGAGTAGTCCTTGCCGGGCCAGAGCTGGCAATGATCCGCGTCTTTTGGTCCATCCCGTGTCTCGAAGCCGGTTGGCTTATCGTCCGTCAAAAGATGTTGAGGTGTGTCCCATCTTCCGAAGCACAGATCGATACCCCCAACGAAGGCCAGGGTGTGATCGATAATGCATAGCTTTTCATGATGCGCCCAGAAGAAAGTATTCTGCCGAAACTGATTGGGTGACCGTTGGACAAATACATTCGGATGCAGGTCGAGAAGAGAGAATTTGGAATACTCTGAATCGATGGGGATGGCAGAGTTGATGTTACGGTACATGATCACGAAGATCTTCACGCCTTCACGCGCCTTGCGCTGCAACAGACGATCTAAGCGCCATTTCTGGCTAATGGCAGCGGGGCGTCGCATGTAGAGCTCAGGACTGAGCCACCAGTCATGGATGTAAATGACATCTTTTGCCTGGTTGATCGCTCGAGAAACGACCCACATGTGGTCACGCGCGTCTACCAACCATTGCGCGAAGCACTTCTGTCGTACGGGAGCAAAACTATCAAATCGATTCGGCCTCGCCCAGGGGGTGTTATTGACCATGAACCGTATTGAGTCCTCGAATTGATGGAGTTGCCGCTCATTCCTGGCCAGCAGTCTGAGCTTTCGCTCCGAGTTCTCGAGCCTTAGCGTGTGATGCTGCGGGTGGCGAGCTGATTCCGTCGCAGATTTGGCGAAATCCTTTGCCTTTTGATTGCGCAAACTAACCTTCTGTGTCTGGAGCTTGAAGAAGGGGTCGACCAAGAACACATCGTATATGTTCATCTCTTCCGGCGAATCGACGCATACAACGTAGCTGTGTCTTACAAGAAACCATTTTGGTGAGTGGCGTTTTTTCACCATGCCTGGAGTCAGAGCTCTCCGGAAATCAAGACCTTTGGACGATTGGATGACGAGATAACCTTCTTTGCCATGGTAACTCCCTTCGGCCGCAAGGCGGACACCTAGTGCCGATAGCTCGAGGAATTTGCAAAGGCGGTTACTATCTGGCTTGAAGATGAGAAACCGGATCAGCTTTTGAAGGTAGGATTCTAGCTTCTTTCGCTGTCTCTCTGGGTAACTCTCTCTCTTATTAACCATTCCGGCTTCCACCGGTCCAGACGCGCCTGCGGCATTCTCTCCGTCAGGGATTGTGGCACTCGATTGTCTCCGAGACATACCACCAGATGGACGCCGCTGTGCTTGCTGGTGCTGCTTCTTGCCGCCTCTTTCATTCCCGCTTGTTGCCTCCGCTGCGGTCTCATACCCACCATCCTCCTCATCATCTTCCATGTCACTTTCCAAGCCGCGAACTCCTCGAAGATAAGGAAACGCACTGCGAGGAAAGCGCGGTAGGTTATGTCCGCCCTCGGTGTTCCGCAATTGGATGTACTTCTGCGTTCCGAAGTGAAGCTTGTACTTCAGATGGATATTCGCAAAGTCCCTCAGGGTTCGGTGAATTATCCACTTCATGCGTGTCATCCCACTTCCGTACTCGAGCTCAATACGGAAAACCAGATGGCGGTCACCGGAGTGGGAGTCGATCTTACTATCGGTTACGCGCACCTTGAGTTGTTCGAGCAAAATCGGAATGCGCTTGCTACCGTGCTCGTCCCTTTGGAACATGCTAGCTAGAATGAGGGCGGCCGGCACACCAGACGTTAACTCGGCTAGAAGCTCTGCTGATTTCGCATGATCAACCGTGCTATCCACCTTGCGTCTCTGGCCGATCAATTTGAGTCCAGCTTTGATCTGGCGCCATTTCTGGGCACTCAAACTAGAGGCCCGGTCAGTCCGGTGACGCCGCCATGGTGGTGCCGGCCCTTCGATGTTGTCGGATGGACCAGCCAACCCGGTCAGTCTTCTGAGATTGCTCGGTCTTCTCTCGTCGGGGTTCGTTGGGGTATCCAGCTGACGTCCGCCATAGGTAAATCCCCGGGCATTCGCGAGCCAGACACTTCTCCGCCTCCATGCCGTATCCCTGTTCAAGCGATCGCGACCTTCATCCTCCGAAACGCCTTCTCGTTGTTGGGGTATAAAGTTCCCAGTGCTTCCCCGTCGCGGGAAGAAGTTGGACCGATAATTTTCAAAGGGCGCAAATGAGCTGGGCAGGTGGAACGATGGGCGAGTAGTAGTCTTCGGTGTACTTGGCTGCGTTTGCGGTACTGAATCGTCTCTCTTACGTCTGTGTTGTTTCTTCTTCTTTTTCGGCTGGCTAACACGACCCTCTCCTGCGCTCTCTTCCGCATCGGCATCAATATCACTGCCCTCTTCTTCCAAGGTGTTCGGAAAGCGAAACTCTCCCCGCTCCGAGCCAGGGGTTGCCAAGTCATTGTTGGTGGTCCTAAAATCACTCAGCGTTGCGCCACTGGCTGAGCGAGAGTGTGATGCGAACGAGGGCGATGCGGCGAATGACTTCAACTTGGTGAGTATGGACTGTTTCCCTCTCAAGCCCAGATCTGTATCATCTCCCTTGATTGAGGGGGGTCTAGAATGGGGCAGCTCGGTGAGGGGATCAACCTCCTGAGGGTCTCGAGTGAACTGGACGCTTGGACGGCGACTCGCGGCTGACAATGGCGGTTGAGGCTTCCTACTCCCGGGAGTCTGCGGTGACTCAGTCGCCTCATTTATCTTTCGAGGCATCAACGAGGCAGGTTTGTCCCCGAAAACAGTATTCCCTGATGTGGTCTCGTCCTCCGAATGACCGCTGGTTTGTCCTGCACGTGATTTGCTCTGATTCTTGGGTATGGTTTCTCCTGTGTGCTGCAGGGATTGTAAATAATTCACCTGATCTTGTTCCTCCGTCAGGTGCTGGGTGTCTGTTTCCGTCACGGGTAAGGAAGGCGAAGGAATTGGCGAAGACAGTTTGCTTCCATCCGATAACGACACGGGCCCGGGTCTCTTCCAAGAATAGCGAGCTTGGGCGTTCTCCAAGCTTTTCGGCTCCGGGAAACCGGCTGGGGAGTCCGCCATACTGGCAGTAGAGCACCAACGTCAGCGAGCGGAGATTGAGGTATTAAGATTGGGGGGG